CACATTTAATCCAAATGTAAGTATATTTTATTCACCTTTTCTCTCAAATGGCCGTAGAATGAATAGTTTTATCATTCGTTGAAATGCGTAGCTTCAGTGTATGTGCTATACTTTTAGATATGTAATAAAGAATAAATGTAATTCAACTGGAAATATGTGATATGAAAATGTTACTACAAAAGAACTAATTTTTCGTATAATAATTTGTAGACAGTTTGGAATGTCATTTTCATCTCATACTGTTTATATAAATATTATACACCGTTGTAAACATCGCACATTTTACTTTCGATCTTTATTTCTTTAATGCTTTTATGATTTTTGATAATAATCAAATAAATTACAGATTTTTAATGGCATTAACTCATTTTAAACATATAATATAATAAAAAAAGTACTTAACGTAATAGTACTCTAATAGTTAGTGTTTTCTCCTCTTGCTCTGATAGCGTGTATTCTCCTAGGCAAGTCCTAATTGTTAAACTTTTCTAGTCATTTAAGTACTGCAATTCCGACATCTTCAACGAACTAGATCACTATTTTTACTGCATAGGCTCAGGCATTATCATATCGTATAAGTCGAAATAAGGTATAATATGATATTCCTATATTCCTCAATAACATTATATGAAATTTACCTAAATTTGTTCGGTAAATTCTCCAACAATGCCACCACCAAATAATGGAACCGTCTCCAAAAAATAAGCTTGTGATCAAGATAACGTATTGCGAAACGTTCTATTAGGCTTCCATAATTAGTATTCTTGTTTTGTCCGTAGAGAAAACCTTTTGCTACTGATGTACATTTTGCAATTTTGTGACGAGGAAAAACTTTTGTCGAGAATGAGACCAAATATAACATCATTTTATTCTAACAACAGCTAAAATAGCTGTTATCCATACAAATTCTGCGGCAGTGTTATTTTAGCACTGCTACATATTCTCCACATTGCTGTATGGCATGGAGAGGCTTTTACAGCAACACTAATGAAAAAACTTGAAGCCTTTAAGATGTGGATTTGCAGACGAATATTGCAAATAAGTTGGGGTGATCGAATAACAAATGAAATAGTTTTATACCGAACTAAATAGAGCACAGAAATAACAAAAACAATAAAAATTGGAGAGTTACAATATTTCGGCCATTATATGAGATATTCAGCGAGATATAACCTTCTACACCTCATAATAAAGGGCAAGATCGCCGGAAGAAGGGGCCCAAGCCGAAGAAGAACATCCTAGCTCTGAAATCTTCGAGAGTAGTATCAAAAAACATCCGCTAATCTGTTTCGAGTTGCCGTAGACAAAGTTGTTGTTGCCAATATGATCGCTAACGTTCGATAATTGGACAGGGTACTAAAAGACGAAGAAGAAGTGTTATATTCAATGTTGACGAACGCTCCCATGCATACAAATTCATTAACTGCTGCGATGACGTAATTTTCTATACCAAGTGGCCATAGGAGTTGTGGTTGCCTGCTTGTTTTCATGTAATTTGTTTTGTTGGTGTTTATTATTAGACCTATTTTTATAGTCGATTCTTTTAGTGCTACATACGTCTCTCGTACGGCTTGTTACGTTCTTCCAACAATATTGATTTCATCCGCTTGGGCAAGTGATTTGCACTGATTTGTTACATATTATATTGTTACAGTATTGTTCTCAATCTATTTTCTTGTGACATCTTAATGCAATTTACTAGTTGGGAATAAGCCAAAATTTTACTTTAAAATTAAGTTTATTTGACGTTTCGATTTCCACTTTGAAATTACGAGTAATTTTTCTATCAGCTACTTATTATAGTTTTCAGAATTCATTTTATCGTTTTAGTATGCACTTTTTGTTTATGATTTCCACTTTAGGTAGCAACCTTTCACAAAACTATTCTCGTTATAAACATCAACAATAATAACTGGCATAACTTGCATTTACCAAGGTACAAGTTATTATAATTTCTCGGGTTATATTTTCGTATTTTTTCTTTAACGCAAGCTCCATTCCTGTAAACAATAAAAAAATGTTTAAAAACTTTTTGAAAAGAACTTGACAGAGAGAGAGAGAGAGAGAGAGAGAGAGAGAGAGAGAGAGAGAGAGAGAGAGAGGAGAGAGAGAGAGAGAGAGAGAGAGAGAGAGAGAGAGAGAGAGAGAGAGAGAGGGAGGGGGAGAAAGAGAGAGAGAAAGAAAGAAGGACAGAGGTACTTAAAGTACTACTGTACCTTATACATAGTTAAAAAAAAAAAGAAAATATGTACCTACTTAACCTCTAATTAATAATTGACTCTTTAATTAATTCTTTATTAGTTTTTTATAGTCACCTTCTAAAAGTAGCGTAGACGTAATTATTGACTCCACGTAAAGTTTATTCAAACCATCCTCGAATTCCTTTTTAAGGTTTTTGATTGATTCACTCATTATAATAGAAATTATTAGAAACTACACTGAATAAAACTCGAGTTACTGGTAAGATTCGATATGCGATTTCTCTATTTCCCTTTGTGGGTATTTATCTTCGCCATAAAGCGAAATTCGTCGTGTTTTTCAAGGCGTTCTGTGCACGTCAAAAATACCCGAAACGCAATGTGAGAAATAAACGAAATTCCAAACGCGTTGTAGATATAAATTTCGGTCAATGGATATTGAGTACTTCCTCTTCGTTTTCTTCTTCTTTTTCTATAAATATGAGTCTGTCTATTTTTCAATTGCCTTCATGATGTTGAGTTCGACATATTCATATAAATAAGCCTTTGTCTCTTAGAAACGGATTTTCGAATGGCTTGTGCACTTCCATCACTCCAATTGTATTTTCTAGTGTAACTAGAATACAAACAGGTTTTATAGGTGAAGATGATTGTCTTGTTTTCGGCTGGGTATCGTATTCTTCTTCTTAACGTGCCCTATCAAGTCCAATTGTATTTTTTAGTGTAACTAGAATACAAACAGGTTTTATAGGTGAAGATGATTGTCTTGTTTTCGGCTGGGTATCGTATTCTTCTTTTTAACGTGCCCTATCAAGTCCCCTTGACGTTGGCGATTAACATGGCGAAACTGTCTCTGTCTCGAGCTATTCTAAAGAGTTGCTCAGCTTTCTTTATTCCTGTCCACTCTCTGATATTCTTCAACCAAGAGGCCTGCTTTCTACCAATTCCTCTGCGTCCTTCGATTTTACCCATCATAATAAGTTGAAGAATATTATATCGGTCTCCCCTTACTACGTGTCCAAAATAGGCCATCTTTCTACATTTGATGTTATCAAGCAGCTCGCGAGCAGCATTTGCTCTCTCAAGGACTGCCACATTTGTCAGCACAGCCGTCCATGGAATTTTTAGTATAAGTCTGTGCAGCCACATTTCAAAGGCCTCCAGACGATTAATGGTGGATATTTTTATATGTCCATGCTTCGACACCGTATAAGAGGACTGACCAACTGTAGCATTTAACCATACGCTTTCGAAGTTGAAGTTTCAAGTTATCATTACAGAAGAATGACCTCATTTTTAAAAATGTCGTGCGGGCTATCTCGATTCTACATTTTATCTCTTGATTTGGATCTAGTTGTTCAGTAATATGGCAACCAAGATATTTAAAACTGGACACTCTTTGAATTATATGACCATCAACATATAATCGTGCATCTTGATGTGCTAAACGGCTAAACACCATGTGTTTTGTTTTTGAACAGTTTATGTTTAGGCCAAACTCTCTTCCCACTTTATCAATGGCATTTAAAAGGCATTGTAATCCATTTATGTCATCACTTAAAATAACTGTATCGTCTGCATATCTGATTGTATTTATCAGAATTCCATTAACTTTCACGCCCCATTCCAAATTATGCAGCGCTTCTTTAAATATTATATCTGAATATAAATTAAATAACAGTGGGGATAGTATACAACCCTGTCTGACACCTCTTTGTATTTTACATATTTCTGTTGATTTTCCGTTTATGCAAGCTGTCGCTGTTTGACGCCATTATAACTTTTCTATGAATCATATGTCTTGACTATCAACTCCTTTATCTTTTAATATTGTAATTAATTTGTGATGCTGTACTCGATCAAAAGCAGTAATACATCTAGTGCAAAGAGGGCGTCCCGAGTTCCCAGTTCATTTCTGAAGCCAAATTGTGTTTCATCCTGATCTTCACATTTATCTCTGATTCTACTGTGGATGATGCGTAGAAATATTTTCAAAGTGTGGCTCATAAGGCTTATCATTCTATAATCGCTACAGTTTTTCGGACGTTGTTTTTTTGGTAGTGTTATGAATTCGGACTTTAACCAATCTTCAGGGATATCACCAGTGGAATAAACATCATTGAAAAGTTTGACCAGTATTCCAATGTTCTCCTCATTTATAAGCTTTAACATCTCTGTCAGTATGTTATCAGGGCCAACGGCTTTCTTGTTCTTTGCTAACTTTATAGCATGCAGTATTTCTGATTTTAGTATTTCTGGTCCTTCACCTTCAGCTAAAGTCTCCGGTTCTTCGGGTCTATCATCATTATACTTGTATAATGTATACTATCACTTATATAATTACACCAGGTTGTTCGAATTTCATGTTCGTCTATTATCATTTTTCCCAACAAATGGGTTATAGTATGTGGAGTTTTCTTATGATACAAGACCAGCTACTTCTCTAACTTTTTTAAACATATTAAACGTATCATGTTTTTCATTCAACTTTTCTAATTCCTTGCATTTATCCTCCATCCATTTTTCTTTAGTCACCTTTATTTTTTGTTTAATTATCGGGTATCGTATAGCAACTAGAAGTTTGATGTATTTTTAATCTGTTTGCTTTTTTCTTGTTCTAAATCTTCTATTCTTCGTACTCTTTTTTTAACTTTCGAACGTGGTTTTTCTGAGTTTATTTGTGTAATTTGATTCAAATTGAAATATGTTCTATTCTATTATATGTTAATTATCTTCTGCTTTTAAGCCATTATTGATTTTTAATAAAAAATATTTATTTAGCTAAATACATTTTTGTTTCAGATTGGCAGAACTAAATTTAATAGAGATCCTAAATTTGACTTTATTGGCAAAGGCAACCGAGCACTGACTGAAAAAGTTAAACCCAACATGTTCGGTCCTTTGTCTGATAAATATCCATCGATTTATCCACGTGGAGAAACCATAGAAATACCCGGTTGGATAGCTTTTGACAAAAAAGTAAGTGAAAACAAAAAAGTAAAATAGATGTAGCAAGTAATAAGCATATTTATTTTTACGTGAATGTGTACCTTTTGTCTCCATTAAGTTGATATGGATTTGGGTATGGTTTGATGGATGAATGTTTTACTTTACAACCAACTTGATTAGAGGGCACCCAGCAGGGGTGGACACACGGGGGAGTATGGAAATCCCTCTCCCGAGAAAGGTCCAAACCCTTTTGGTTGGTGTTTCATTGGAAGTCCCCCCCCCAAGTTGAAAGTTTCCCGAGATTAGGATCACAGGAGTACTGCAATTTGGTGGCTATAACTTTAATTGGTCTGTTTTGTTTATTTTCGAAAGAGTGCCATAAATAAATCTCTTCAGATAGAGAGATCTCTTCTTAGTGAGAGCTTGGTAACATTCTCATTCTTTAATATTAACATTAATTTAATATTTTTGTCATTGATTACTCCTTTTTATCGATGAAGTACTTATTTTACTGCCTTCTTATAATGACGTTATATATTTTTTATTCTCTGATTGATATGCAGTTCTTTAGATGCATTTTTGCTAATAGTAAAAATAATCAAAAGCAAAAATTTATTTTTTGTTTTTTCTTCCGCATTTAAATTCTTGTTCTTGTTGTTTATACTATTTACTGTAAAAGTTTAACTAAAAATTATGTTTCAGATTTTATGTTTTGATGCATTTTTTCAAGAAACCTTACAAGAAGTCAAAGGATCTCCATTTCTAATTAGAAAAGTAAAGATTTACTTGTTTTTGGAAGATGGAACAATACAAGTTGTAGAACCACGCGTAGAAAATAGTGGAATTACTCAAGGTACTCATCGTTTACATTAACCTTCATAAACTCGAAGTCAAAAACTTACATTAAATACCAAGGGGATGCAAATACACCTTAAGTTTAAGCTCGTTGTAAGCGCTCACTAAGATGGAAGTTTCGAGAATCATGACTGAAAAAAGTATATACAGTAGTAAGTAGTGAACAAGAAAAACCCGTAACAACAGATAACTGTGGTTATTTTAATGACTAAAAACCAATACAGTACTGTATATAAAAGATTTACCTTATAATACCACCGTTTAAAAAAGCTTTTGACTGATTTTTGCGTAAGCTTTTTATTCCTCTTTTGAGGCGATGATGTTGCGCCAACGTTGAAAATGAAAAAGTCTACTGGTGCCGATTTCTCTTGCTGCCTGCTGATATATGCGAAAGCTGCTTTAAGGGTCTTTAGTCCATTATAAGGAGAAATCTTTGGAGTCTTCTTTGTATCTTCTTCTACTTCATGGTTAATATTTAGAACTATATCGGCAACTGCATCTGTCAGTTCCATTTCTTCATCTCCATTCATTCCATCGATGACGTCTTGGTTTCTGATTGGCTAGGTTGACAATAGTGTTAACCTCAAAGTCACCAGCCTGTTTAGTAATACCTGAAGAAGTCTTTGCTAATAATTTCTCTTAATTGCTTCTATAACGCCTTATCTAGTAGTTGGATGAAAGACGTCACATTGGTTGGAAGGAACACAGTTCTTATGTCGACTCCTCTTGCTGCCCGATGTATAAGAGAGAGAGAGATTTAACCCATCAAAAGAAGAATTTTTTGAGTTATCTCATCTGTATCTTCTTCTTCTTTTTATTCTTCTTCATGGTTGATGTTTAGAACTCGGTAATTGCTTGTTTTCCAATTGACTAGGTTGGCTTCAACTATCAACTTCACAGTTATCAGTTACTTTTGGAAGGTCCAGTCTTTTGTTTTTTATATCTGAAATAATTATTTCCATGACTTTTGAATAGTGGACTTACGCCATCCAATGCAGATGAAATCCAATAGCAATCATCTTTAATCGTGATCTTCTTCAATGCGTCAATTACAATCAGACTCCTCCAATAATTCCTCTTCATTGCCTCTATAACACCTTATCTAGGAGTTGGATGAAAGACATCACATTAGGTGGAAGGAACACAGCTCTTATATTAGCACTAATCAATTCATTCGGGTCTTGGTGGGATTGTGCGTTGTCCAGCAACAACAAAGCTTTTTAAAGTAGATTTTGGTTTTTTAGGTAGGCATCAATGACTCGTACAAAGTTATTAATAAACAAGATCTTAAAAATGTTACAGTCTATCCATGCATTGAGTTTGTTTTTATAGGCTGTAGATAAGCAATTCACTTACTACATATTATTTAAACGCTCCTGGATTTTTTGATTTTCCTGTTAAAAGATGTCCTAATTTTAACGAATCACAAGCATTGTTGCAGATCATGATGGTGACTCTCTGGTTGCTTTTCTGGTAACCTGATGTAGTTTCTTCATTTTTAAGAGGTAGTTTTTTCAAAGGAAGCATTTTAAAATGAAGGCATGTCTTCTCACAGTTAAATATTTGGTTTAAAGTTAGTTCATCTTTAAGGATAATGTCTAGTTATTTTAAATAAAATGCTCCAATTTTAGTTGAGTCATCAAAAAGTTTTTCGCCGCAAAGATTTAATTGTCGAATACCATATTATTTCTTCTTCCATGAGTCAATCCATCCTTTACTAGCACAAAAGTTTTCTCGTACGTTCTTAAACTTCTTGTGGAAGTTAATATATTTGGCTTGAAGAATTTGACCATTTATGGAGCTGCGCCATCCTCTCATTTGTGTAAACCATGAAAACAACGGCTCAGAAGTTTGTTTATGGTCTCTTTTTTCACAATCTTCTTCGCCAATTTACTCACACCACTCACACTGCAGTTGACCTTCTGTTCCGCTTTTGCTTACAATCTCCAACAGTTACTTCATCAACACCTAAATCTGAAACACCATTGTCCAACTCACAATAATTACCATAGTAACAGTAATTGTGGACAAAACGCGACACAGAAATTTCTGGAAATATGGCGGTGACCAATTTCTGAAAATTCCGGCTCGACTTAACAGCGCATAACTAATCGCAATTGTGACTTATTAGCTACCACTTTTGTCTCGGTTAACCAAGGGGCTCGGATAACCTAAACTCGGATAATCGCGAGTCTACTGTAAATACAGAATAATTTAGATTTTGATTTAGTTTGAAATATAAATCACGTATTGTTGTCTTGAAATAAACTTGTAATAAATTGTAATCATATAAATTAATTTTAATCTAAATAAATTAGAATAACTGTACATAAACTAAATAATTAAGACTAAATAAAATAATTGCTTAGAACATTTTAATCATAAATGAAATAGTGAAAAATAATAAATTACAGTCCAGTTTATTTTAAGTCATATTTTATGTATTTTATCTTCTTCTAAATGTGCCTATCTTCTAGAGATGTTGGCGACCACATTGACCCATCTTATTCTATTCACAGCAGCTCAAAATAGATCAGTTGACATTAGACCAGTCCATTTTCTAAGATTGGCCAGCCAGGATATACGTCTACGTATAGAATCTTCCTAAGGATGTTGAAAGAGTTTCTGGCTTTTTCAATATGAGTTTTTATTTTGTAGCTATTATCCCAAGTATTCTTAATATTTTAGCCCAAATAGCATATTTTTTCCACTCTTTCTAACGGTGTATCGTTAATTGTAATTTGGGCGTTTATGCCGGTGTTCTAACTAATGATCATTATTTTTGTCTTGCCCATTATCTGCCAGCAATACTGTATCGTCTGCATATTTAATGCGGTTTATAAGTACAACAATCCCGTCTTCTGATTCGTCCAAGGCCTCTCTTAAGATGTTTTCAAAGTATATGTTAAATAATGCCGGTGACAATATGCAACCCTCTCTAACTCCTTTTTCGACTGTGAAGATCTCGGACAGTTCATTTTCTAATCGTAATCTATTTTATAGGAACTTTAATCAGTCGACAGCGCATTCGTTTCCCTGCACCGATGGATGATAACTTTTATGATATCATAGACTTTAATATTGGTAGGGAAATTGAATTTTATGGTAGAGTATTCAAAATAACAAATTGCGATAAATTTACCAGAACTTTTCTAAACCGCTGTGGAATAAGCATTCCAGATCCCATAGAAACTCCCCCTGATCCTTACATGAGTATTAGAGCGCATGACATGGATTCGATGCAACCAAAAAAGCCTGTTAAAATCCATGATCCGCTGGGAAAATTTTTGGCCAATGATAAAAAGGTATGTTGGCAAAAATAATTTTTAATTTTTTTTAATGTATATTTTTAAAATATAGTGAATGGCTTTAAAACAAAATATATAAAACGTAGAAGGTAACTGCAAATACGTATTTCTGACTAGATTCTCGCGACAAAAAGCTAATCACACAATATGAAAAATGATTGATTTTAAGTTCCTGAAGGATTGGCACATGAAGACCAAAGAAGACCTGGGAGGAATGCTTAGGTAGGTCAGTTTGGTAAAGGAGCATGGTGTAATACTGGTAATGACCCGGGAGGTTTATTTCTCCATGAGAAACTTATAGAGAAATGTAAGTAGGAAAGCTGATCCTGCATAAGAATAAAATCAAACAGAATTATGGCGAATATAGTTCAATCATTTTGGCTGTGAATAGACTCGATTCATAACAACCCTTATAAGTCTACAACTTCATGTCATTCGTGAGTTTTTTATTTAATGTACAATTAGCTCAAAAATTAACTTTAGATTGTGAAAAATTTGGCAAGGTTATATTCCAAGTTCATTTAATTAAGATCAAAAAACTGTTTTTTGAGAGTTTTCTTATAGTTCTGTTACAAGGCAGAACAGGAAGCAGTTTTATATCATAATATGACAATGTGAAGTCAGAATTGGCATGCAACTATGAGTATCTAGTATAGTCCAAAATAGAAGTAAAGGTATTTCTTGATAGATTTTCTTTACGGCAGTCTGTTAATACAGTTTTGGAACTTTTTTGAGCCACTTATCGGTATTATTATTAAGTATTATTATTGCAAAACAATTTTCGATTTCATACAACTGACCTAATCCAAGATGAAATACCTTGTACTGTCATTGAGTATTATCCATACCTACTATATATAGCTTTTTGCTCAGTAATTATCATATGTTTGGTGTAAGAGTTATAGAAATAATAATATAGCATTAAAAACTTTTACTTAATTTGATGTTTCTAAATTTTTAAATTTTACTTCTTAATAGGTCCTGCATTTTCAAGGATACTGGGATGATCAAAAGACATTATATGGTTACATACACCATTTAGAAATTCGATATTATCTAGCAGATGATACGATAGAAATAAAAGAACTACAGGCGGAAGCTGGTGGTGAACCAGCATTTATGTTTTTACGAAGAGGAAAACTGCCTAAACTTTATAAAGATCTAGCCGCTCCTGGTCACGATTCAAACTACACGGTACTTAATGTCCTGGGTTCTGCGCTTGGTAATCGTAGATATATTATGGACCCTCTTGACTGTGGCAAAGAAACTATAGATTATTACTGCGAGAAAGATCTTAGTATTGGTAAGTCTATTGTAAACATATTATAGTTCACGTTAAACTTTTAGATCTTTGGGTGTTTTTGATTTAGTACATTTTTTTTTGTTAATTTTTAGGAGCGATTATAAACTGTTACGGAAGAAAAATAGTTCTCACCGATTGTGATTCATTTACCAGAGCATATTACGCCGAAAAGTACGGCATAAGCGAATTTACACCATTACAAATACCCGATAGTCAGAAATTATTCAAAATTATTCCTCCCCCAAAACAAAGAGAACTTCCACCTTGGAATGGTTTCGGTACTCACGAGGATTCAGCTCAAAATTGTATAACTGTAGAGCCAAAGGCACCTTTCAAGGATTTCAAGAAATTCCTTATGTATGACAGGTACTTTTTTAATAACTCTGGTATTGTAACAGTATAGTTATTGGAATGTAGTGTAAATGTAGTTGTATATAAATTTTATGTAGAACATTCAATTGTTTTGTGTCAATATATTTTAGTATTTAGTATTAATTTATAATACATATTAGTAACACCAGATGTTAGTGGATTTATAGAAAATATGGATACCTTTGATATGGATACCATGACACCTTTGTCCTACAGTTACTCATAAAAAAATGGTCTTGTAGTATTGATAACTTTTGATCGAAAGACCAGAATAACACACTACGCAATTTGAAGGATAATGTGGGTCTTAAATTATATAAATAATAACTAACCAAAAGAAAAAAAATTAGGTGGTTAGTAATTATTTTTTTATGACCTCGTTAATGAGTATTGTTGGAAAGGAAGTACTCTTTGATAAAATCTGGTATTTTGTACGGCAACTCTTTTTTAGTTAATTCAGATAACTATCTTTACGATTAAAAAAAAATACACATTTAGTAATACATTTTTGAGAATCGCCTAATCAACCTATTTCATTCCTGCTACTTCTGTTAGCTACCACAAACGTAAATTGTTCAGGACAAAAGTTAAGCGCCTCGTCAAAATGAATCTACTCATGAAAAATTAGCTGGTTAGTAATAAACATTGAAAATGGGGCATCCCGGACAAATATAAAGTGCGCCTTACTTTCGCTGACGAAACATACTTTTTCTGGTTGGTAGTGGTAAGCTATGTTTAGGTCTATGTTTGGATTCTGTTCACAGTAGTAATATCAAAGCTCATCGCCGTCGACAAACTGAAGTAAATTTTTTTTGCTGCTAGTAATGGGTTCGCAGGCGTTTTGTGCAAACGAGTGTTGCCCAAAATTAGTCTTGGCCTTGCAGCCTTGGTTTTGTTATTGCGTTTTCGCAGGTCTTGGTCTTGCAGCAAGACTCTTGCTCCAAGACCAAGACCAAGACCGGGAGCGCAATACCAAAACCAAGATCAAGACCAGGTGTATTGGTGTAAGACCAAGACTAAGACAGGCTCGTCTTGTTCTTGTATTTGGGCAACACTTGTGATAACTAGAACTTGAATTATTATATAAAGAATTCTTCACACACGCATATACACATCCAAGCACACACACCCACACACACGCACACACACACACACACATACACACACATATACACACATAATTGTAGTTATCATACACACACCTTTTATTCTCATATAACTATCCATTGACTGAGAACCCTCACCTGCAAAAAAACTGAAAAACAGTAGATAGTCATAACATTTTTGGTCGAACATGGATGTCATTTTGTGCCTTAGTAACAATGCTGAGAAAAAAACCAAATTCTAATATTTTTGACACACGTACCACTGTTAGATGACGCTGATACTGATATTTTAATCGAATCTGCGTTCAACTGATTTGTTAATATGAAGCTCATAATTAATGTTGTATTTTTAATAGGTACTTAATTTTAATCAGTGTAAAATACTCTGTGGTCCATGTTACAATATGCTAATAAACTTGCTTTTGGATAAGTTTGCTTTTAGTGGCATGTTCTTCAGTTAAAACCCTTTAATGTGTTTAACTATTATATAACTAGTTAAAACTATTATATCTATATATTAAGGATCTTGAATTCGTAGTTACTGAGTTTTGGAAGTTACTAAGTTACTGAGTTTTTAAAAACCTAAAGTATGTTTTTAATTTTATTCACCAAAAGTTTTAACTTGAATATAGTGAGACTTTGATTTAATATTTAATATTTCAATTTCCTTTAATTGTAAGTGTTTCTTAGGGATGGACTGGATAGCCACATATTAAGATTCGCAGCTAGAATGAAATCAAAGATTCCAGAAAATTGCGACAGAAATTTTATTATTAGTTATTACTTAACTGATGATACCATGGCTATATTTGAAACAGCCAGAAAAAATTCAGGTAGGTTAATAAATTTTAACTAATTTTTTTATCATTTAAATTAACATTTTTGTTAACAATGTAGTTATTAATAATATGGTAATCATATTGGTAGAATATTTTCTTCAAACACGTCACATACAAATAGGTAATTATTTACAAATGCAAAATGGTCTTCACCTATTATCCTGTAGTAATAAATAATTACCAAATAGCTCAATCCAATGATTTCAAATACTTGGGTGTATATAAGATTATAAAGCATAAGGCAGCAGAGCGCAGAACATAACTTCAGCAATTCGGCATAAACAATATAGGCCCATTTAAGCGCTTATAAGTTCTTAAGGATTATTAGCAATTCAAATGATGTCATCTACAAATCTTAAATAGCTGAGGTATTCTCCATCAATGGAGAGGCCTTTGTTCTGCCAGTTTATTTTGCTGTATTTTATATTATTTAGCTCTTCTCATTAGTTCTAAAAACGTATGTATATGATCCATGGTACTGAATCAATTTCTGAAAAAATCTTCCTTTCTTAGCTGTGCAGCATATAATGCATTTGTTAATCTGTTGATGATCTTCGTGAATATCTTGTATATGATTGGTAGTATAATTATAGGTCTGTAGTTTTTGATATCCTCTTTGTTATCGTTTTTATGAATGAAAATTATGTTTGCTATATTCTAGTGGTCTAGTATGCATTTTGATCTTAGGCCGTTCGTAAATATACCTGCTAAGTTTTTCCAGATTTTTTGCCAGTATATTTAAGCAGTTCCACTGTTATGCCATCTACTCCAGCTGCTTAACCGATTTTCATTTTTGTAATTGTTGTTTACACTTCTTCAGGAAGAACTTCTGGTACCTCTTCTTGGCTACAGATTACTTCTTTAAGTGTTTCAGGGACTTTGTCTAGTTCGCTGTAGAATTTAGTCACGATTTGTATTATTTCATTTATGTCTATAAATCTGGTATTTTCGTTTGTTAAAGTAACGATTCGCTTCTTCCCAATGATTAATACTTTTATTCTTAATCTTACATTTCATGTCACTGTTCTCTTCATCACTAGTCCGGAGATTCTTACCACCCTTTGAGAATCTAAAAAGCTGCTGAGAATTGGAGGCCGTAGCTTTTTCGTCATCGCAGTTCGCGGTTTCATTACTGGTTTAACGAATATTGTGGTTTGCTCCAATAGTAGTTTGCAAATAATAGCTGGTTAAATTATTATGTGATTACTGTATGTGCTATGTGAATTAAATTTTTAAACAAAGTCACCTCTTCAGTTGATCAGCGGGTGTTTGTTTGATTCAACCTTACTTAGTCCTATAGCTATGTCATCTTATATATCTATAGAACTTATTGGGAAGCGCAGTTTCAAAATATTAAAGAACGACTATTCTACAAAATACTTAAGAACTACTACTTATCTCGCAGCTCTTTGTCCACGCATGCTAAAATCGGCACTGATTAATCCATCGTAACTTGTAATAGAAATGGTGCAAGATTACAAAAAGGAGTGGGGCTAAACATATTTGAGAAAAACCGAATAATGTTGGAAACTATCTTGCATTAAATATTCTTTACAATTTCAAGGAAGAACTTCGTCTAAAGGAAATCTTTAGACGACAAGAATGCACTTTAAATGGTCATTTTGTAACGAATATATTTTGCCTACCACATAGGGTATTATTATGGGGGATTAAAATCTTGGAACAGAAACTATTGGGCTAGAGATAGGGCAAGCAAAACAAATCGAAACTTATGCGAACGGCACTCAGGGTTTATTTGGAGAGCTGGAGTCGTAAATAAGTTGAATGGCAAGGGGTCAGATTGGAGTAACTACAAAAATGAAATAAAAGAGGGTACTTGCATAGATCTCTTGGATAAATGGGCAAACAAAAACAACAAGAAAGGCTTCTAGCTATTTAAAATAAGGACGCCGTTTCGAAAGATCCTAATCTTTCTGTATAAAGGAAAAAAGGCCCTTTTTCCTGGATTTCACTGTGTAACTTTAAATTTCTGAGGTTGGAAACTGGAATTTAAACTCCCTGCCACACGAACAAATTCATCTCCACTGGAAAAGTATTCTGGCTATTTGAGGTTGAAATTGAGACACTGCACACCTTGGAAACGGCTTCTTAAGGAACTGGACAATGGAACATGTAGAGATTTTTTAAAACTGCTGCAGACGATACAAACCACTTAGATACTTGAACAAAATAGTTATTACTCTTTTATAAACTGACATATTAACAGGAAGTAAAATTCAAATATTTTCAACAAAATTTGCCGGCTAATCGTATCTACATAACGGTACAGTTCCCTTTGAACAAATCTTTCAACCTGACTTCAATTCCCCACGGCCGATCTTTCTGTCTCCCCCGGCTGCTATAAACCACCCTATAATATCCACCCTTTTTACCTAAAATCTCGTTCTCGCAACCAAATTCTTGATAAACAGGTAGTTAAAAACTGGATTTTGGAATTTGGGGTATTTTCTTTGCATCACAATATAAACAGACTCGGCGAAATATTATACTTGGGAACGTACTAGGAAATTGTTATACCTTAAATATTGAATAGTTTAAGGAATTTCAACATCATCATCATCATCATCCAGCCGAATTTTCACATCCATTGTTGGATATAGGCCTCCTCCAAACGTCTCCAGTTCTCTCTATCTCTAGCTGCTGCAATCCAGTTTGTTTCTATTCTCTTTAGGTCGTCGGTCCATCGGGTGGGTGGTCTGCCTCGACTTCGCTTGTCGGCTCTTGGTCTCCACTCCAATAATCTCTTCGTCCATCTTCCGTCTTCCATTCTAGCAACATGTCCAGCCCACCTCCACTTTTGTATATTGATTCGCAGTATAATATCGTCTACGCCAGTTCGTATCCAGTTCGTAGCCAGTATCTCCTCATTTCTTACGCGATCTTTCAAGGTCAGGCCCAGCATTGATCTCTCCATTCGCCTTTGTGTTACCCTCAGTTTTTCGGCAGTAGCTTTCGTTAAAGTTAAGGTCTCTGCTCCGTAGGTCAAGACTGGTAAGATGCATTGGTTTAAATGCCTTCCTTTTCAGGTGAATTGGGATATTTGTTTTAAAAATGTCTCTCATCCGTCCATATGCCGCCCATCCCAACGTGATTCGTCTATTTAGCTCGCAGGTTTGGTTGTCTCTGGTTATTCTAATTTCATGACCCAAGTATGTGTATTTATCGATTAATTCTACCTTGTTGTTATTGATCTGTATCTCTTCGCTGGGAACCATATTGGTCATCATTTTGGTTTTCTCAAAATTTATCTCCAGCCCAGTTTCTTGTAGTATGTCATTCAGTTCTTGGAGCATGTCTTTGATCTCTCCCAGATTATCTGACAGAAGCACGATATCGTCCGCAAAACGTAGATGGTTTAATCTTTCTCCATCGATGGATATTCCTTTTTGTTGCCACGTTAGTCTTTTAAATGCATACTCGAGAACGGTAATGAACAGCTTTGGTGACATGGTATCACCTTGCCTGACTCCCCTTTTTATCTTTATTTTATTAGTTGCAGAATATAGACTTATGGTTGTTGTGGCATTTTCATATATATTTTTAATTATATTAACAATATCTGTGGTCGATCCTGCAATCTTGTGGTGCTCTTAAGATGGACGGTAGTTCCACTGTATCAAACGCCTTTTTAAAGTCTACAAATATCAATGCCAAGGGACAGTTATATTCGTTAGTTTAAATTTCAACATGCTACAATTTAAATAAATCTCTAATCAATGGGTCAATCAAAAAATAATCTATCGTAACTTTAAATGATAATGTCAAATCTAACAAATACTTATTTACAAAATGATCTAAATTAGTTAAAAATAAGACCGTGTAACTTACAACTTTGGTGAGATATTATCTTACCAATTTTAATCTGTTTTGACATGTTTTAGGATTTAAAACATCTTGCTTTCTTTCGCGGTGTAAAGTAAAATTGCCAGGACAAAAGATGTTTGACAGTAAACCACCATGCTGTTACACACCTCAACATATGTTTATTGGTGCTACTTTGATAGTCAACGACTTCGAATTTATTTTGATTGATGCTGATGAATATTGCTTGCGGTTTATGGAATTAAACGCTAGTCAAGTAAGTGATTGATAACGCCATTAACAATTATATGTACACCAGGGATTGGAAAGAGTTGACCAAATATTTACAAATTGTATTATTTATTTGAGAGATGATCAAGAAATAATTACAGAATATAGTTTAAGTATGTTTTTTTTGTTTGTTTATATATCTTCCGAGCAATTGTTTTCTTTTCACTTTTTGAATTTCTTTGCTCTAGAATTTCATTTTTTTTTTGTTCTAGTGCTGATATATAGGTTACAACTTATTGCATTTCTTTACTAAGTAGGAACACTACCTACGTATTTGATCGTTAAAGGTCTTTCACCAGCAGCCATTACAGAATTTCATTGTTCCCTTAATTATATCAGGTGGTTGGTGGAATCACTAAATTTTGAAGAATTTGCTGTAGATAAGATATCACACATGAAATGGAACTGGGACAAACACCTGGCGAGAATAAATGACAAGCTGCGGAATAAGAATCTATAATTAAATGGTAAAAAAATCGTGACCAATTCGTCATACTAGTGTGAAGATTTAAATCTAATAATTATAATAATCTGATTCCCATTAAAGCATTTTATAAACAAATAATGCCTTGGGCGCTGGGATTTCCTTCCAAGAGTAAACTGAACTTTTCGTAAACCATCTCCCTTTTTCTCTTTTCCTTCTTTTAAATGGTCATCGAATAGAGTTTGTAATAGTTTATATTCATAGACATCCATTCCAAAATATATACAAATGCTGATTGAAAATATTTGTTTCTTCATTCTTTTTCTACAATTTTTTAATTCATATCAAACAGTTTACACATACACGAACGTATTTAACTTATGACTATCTAAAAAAACAATTTATTTTGTTTTAGTATCCCAAAGCTAATATCGGCCTCATTATGGACAAAGTAAGAGAAAAATTGAGACCAATATATAAAGACTTTGTGGCCGCCAATGTCAATGCAGAACAAGAGACGAAAGTAATTTCTTATGATAAATTAAGGTAAATATATTATCACAATAATGCTTTAGAACACTTTTGACCATTACCAGGCCTTTGTCTATTACTGTCAATTTATCTGCCAAGTCGCTGCTGGACTCACCATAAATCTAGTAAAACAACATTTAATCCTCTCGCGATGTATTGATAATGTTTTTGTCCTTCTAAAAGGCTAAGTCTTTAGCTCAGTCTTCATCATTTAACACTAATTTGTCAATTAATAAAATTGTTTTTAACTAACGTAATAACAATGAACAACTGTCAAACAATAAAAAAGTGAAGAAATCATTATTATGATAATCTATGTTATTATTAATGAAAAAAGTAAATTATATGTAACGCTTTATATGAACACGGATCAATGATCCATAACTTACAAGCTAATCTATCTATCAAAATGACTATAAAATTATGTATAATGAATAAACCAAGGTATAGGAATAATTTTCCTTCTACCTTTTCAAAAAGTATTACAGAAGGTCAACTCAATTACTATTAAACTGGGAATAAGTCACAATTAAAGATAAAAATACGTTTATTGACGTTTCAATTTCCACTTCGGAAATCGTTCTCAAAATACAAACAGTAAATTAAACAAATTTTGTTTTTTGTTACATAGTGAAAAATTCTTCTAATAATTTAATTTTATCTGACTCATTTATATTAACAATTCAGACATACATTATGCATTTTAAAGTAGACGACTTTAAAATGATATTGCCGATATTGTTGAGTTGCGCTCCTGGGACGACTTTACTTATAAGATAGTTCATTCGATTACATGAAATCAACTTTAACTTGAGAATATTCGTCAGAAAAAAATCATAGCATGTAATTCGTCTTTAAAAAGACAAACACATGACATGATGACAGTAAAATTCTCCTGTTAGTGATTCCATAGTAAATTATGAGGGAAAACCAGGAAAAAACCTCATAATACTATCCCGACATTGTAAGTATTTTTTCGTGAATTTAGTTTACCTTCAACAAACATCAAAATTCTGATTTTATATGTTACGTTATTTAAAAAACAGTTGGGATAGTATTATGAGGTTTTTTCCTGGTTTTCCCTCATAATTTACTATGGAATCACTAACAGGAGAATTTTACTGTCATCATGTCATGTGTTTGTCTTTTTAAAGACGAATTACATGCTATGATTTTTTTCTGACGGATATTCTCAAGTTAAAGTTGATTTCATGTAATCGAATGAACTATCTTATAAGTAAAATCGTCCCAGGAGCGCAACTCAACAATATTGGCAATATCATTTTAAAGTCGTCTACTTTAAAATGCATAATGTATGTCTGAATTGTCAATATAAATGAGTCAGATAAAATTAAATTATTAGAAGAATTTTTCACTATGTAACAAAAAACAAAATTTGTTTATAATATTAATATATAATATATATAATATATATAATAATTTACTGTTTGTATTTTGAGAACGATTTCCGAAGTGGAAATTGAAACGTCAATGAACGTATTTTTATCTTTAATTGTGGCTTATTCCCAGTTTAATAGTAATTAATTTACAATGCCACAAGAAAATAGCTTCAGAACAATATTAAGAAGGTCAACTCTACGTCAACCAATCTCCTGTAAAAAGAGTGACACACTACAACTACCTCTGCACCATAATAAATGAAGAATGGACCAACAACCAGGAAATTAGAGCACGCATTGGAAAAGCTAGATCCATCTTCAATCCGACAAGGGCCTTCTTCAAGAGTCATAACCTCTATGTCTTCTCTGTCATTTTTTATGGTGTTGAATCGTGGACCCTAAACGAAGATACGTGCAAAAAACTGGAAGCATTTGAGGTGTGGCTATATCGGAGAATACTTAAGATCCCGTGGACTGACCGAGTCACAAATGAGGAGGTCCTCAGAAGAATGAATAAGAACCGAGAGGTACTGACCACCATTAGATATCGAAAGTTACAATTCTTCGGACATATTATGCGAAATGAATCCAGATATGCTCTCCTTCAAACCATCGTGCAAGGAAAAATATTTCAAAAGCGAGGTCCAGGAAGAAGAAGAACTTCTTGGTTAAAGAACCTCATAATCTGGTTTAATACAACATATGGGCAGCTTTTCCGCGCTGCTGCAGAAAGGGTACATATTGCCATGATGATCGCCAATATTCGTAACGGATAGGCACATCAAGAAGAAGACCTTTTTAAAATATTATCAAAATGAGGATATAAATGTAAGACTTATTTAAAATCAAAATTTGTTAATTTTAAAGCGTCCATTTTTATGCACCTGAGCGTATCAAATCTGGTACTAATTATATTACGTTTTAATGAACTATATGTTTTAGGTCACAGCTATGTCAAATTATGGGACCAGACTTTACTGAACATGATATGGTTACGATATCAAGAGCGTTTTCGGCCGTTTGTTATAAGGAGCGCTATGATCGAGACAAAATACGGTGAGTATAGCATTTTTCAGATAAAAAAGCTTGCACGTCATTCAAGATTTACGTCTTTAGAACCCCACAGCGTTGCCAAAACATCAGAATAGTTAGTAAGTGAGGAATTTTTAAAATGTCAACTATTTGTCAAACTTATATATTAACAGTAAATACACTTAGTTTTAGGACTACTGCAACACATTAAAATACATAAGAAACCATTTTAATACAAAATTATATATTCTAAATTTTAAACTTACCTCTTTTAGGGCTTTAATAACAAAAACGTCCCGCCATTATTTCTTGTTTAAAATAATCTATCTTATATGAAAGCTTATCAGCTTTCTACAGACTTTTATTTGTTTTGGCATATCACAATCACAATACACAACAATAATTAGTTTTTAAAGCTATTAATCTAAATTTAAAATGCTTTTATAAATACAATTTATTAATATATATTAGGTATATTATGATCAAATTGTGTAAGACGTCAAAACATAAACAAAATTTCTACTCTAAAAAAGCGGCAACACTTAATACACTTTTACCATCCGCTGAACTGTCAATATTATTTGATATATTTCCGTATCAGTTGCGTACAATTGTCTAATATATTTAATTAAAAATATTATTTTGTGGAATATTAGACTTCAAGAGTTATTTCATAAAATTTATATTATTAATAATAATAAATGTTTTTGGTTATTAAATCAATATAATTCTAAAATTTCCAATATAATGATGAGTATATTTTTCTGATTATTACACCATGTTGACGCCTATGAAAGATCGAGCAGTGTCGTATGGGTTTCGTATTATTAGCTGTGTTAGGAAAATTTTAACTATAAGGTTGATGTTCTGGAAATTTTAAATACAAGTGACGTCACTTTGTATAAATCGTGACGTGCAATTGTTTTACTTTGAAAAATGGTATATATACATATTTACTTGATTTACTTGTGGCAATATACGGATTCTTCAAATTTTATCATTCTATACAAATAATGAACATTTAGTGTAAAAATTTTTACCTTATCTTTTTCTATTTTCTTTCAGCAAACACTTCAGCACTTCAATTATTAAGAGTTCTAAAAAATTTCTGTTTTTACAGGGCAATGACACTAACAGAATTAAAGAGATTTTTATGGGACGATCTAGATCGTCTTAAAGAATATTTAATTCAAGCTGATACCAATAGAACCGGTAAATTATCTCAGAAGGGATGTAGGACGGTTTTAAAATCTTGTCGACTACCTCTAGATAATGTCTTAATTGATAAGATATTGTCAGTGTAAGTATTATCTTTGATTAACCATTTGCATATGCGAGCCCATTTTTCTTAAAATCATGCATGCCAGAATTTACAAGAAATGCGAAGAAAATGTCGGTGAAATGCAATTCGGATTCTGCAATTCCATGGGTACACATGAAGCACTTTTCACGTTATAAGTCCTACTTCAGAGATGCCGCGATGTCAGTTGTGATGTCTATATTTGTTTTATTGACTACGCCAAGGCATTTGACCGTTGTCAGCACCAGAAGATGGTCAACGCCCTTCAAAGAGTAGGATTGGATGAGAAGGACATTCGGATCATCATGAATTTATACTGGAACCAGCGTGCTCAAGTCAAGGTCGAAGACCAGCTGACCGACCAAGTGAAGATCATGCGAGGAGTAAGGCAAGGATGTGTGCTATCGCCGACTCTTTTCAATATATACTCTGAGGAGGTTTTTACTGAAGCCCTCACAAACCTAGAGATGGGAATCCGAGTGAACGGTGAATACATCAATAATATCCGCTACGCCGATGACACTGTGTTACTAGCAACTAGCCTAAACGATCTGCAGGCCCTACTAGAACGAGTGCGAACTGTGAGCGTAATATACGGACTGAACCTTAATATTAAGAAAACTAAATTCATTAGAATTCATTCAAAAGAAGTGCTTACTTTGATTAAACAACGAGCTTCAGTACCTCGGGCACGTGATGCGGAACGAAGAAAAATATCGAATTCTTCAACTCGTTATGCAGGGTAAAGTATTTGGCAGAAGGGGACCGGGACGCCGTCGTATCTCGTGGTTGAAAAATCTCCGACAATGGTTCGGGATGACCTCAGCGGAGCTGTTTTGCAGAGCAGTCAACAAAACCATCATAGCTTTGATGATCGCCAACATCCGGACCGGATAAGGCACTGAAGAAGAAGAAGAAGATATGCGAGCCCATTTTACATTAAGATTAATAAAAGATCTTTAATCACAATATGTTGGTCTCCTATTTACATTACATCTTCAGGCAGACGATACATAACTTAAAAACTATAACAGATAGATAGATAGATAGATAAATAGATAGATAGATATATTCAATGAGGTGGTTTTTGGTTTATTCTAGCCTGACAATTTTTAAAAGGTCTAGTAAAATTTCTTTTAATCAATTTCCTAACCAATTGATTTCTTGTATAGCGGCTAATTAACTTATATTTTCTGAGTTCATGGACAGTGATGCTTGAACTTCTGGTTTATTTAGTATTAAAACATTCATGAACCGAACGCTTAATCCATATTTCTTTGTCTGTATCGTCGACGATAAGACTACTCTATTCAAGGCTTGTTTATAGGTCTCATAGTCGCAGGTTTCTTTACGAAAATAAGTGGCTAGTCCATTACTAATCCTCCTCCTTTACTCGGGATTGGGACCGACAGTAACACCACTGGCATCAATCCACCCACAGGTGCCATAAGCGGATTTAGCAAAATCATAGGGTAAAATAGTAAATCATAGTCCCCAATTTAAATATTAGTTAATTTTCAGAATGAAAAAAGACGAAAATTGTGAAATTATATACGAGGATTTGCTACAATTTTTTGACAGAAACGTGAATCCAATGTCTGACGTTCCTCCAAGTAATATTAAGGTAAGGATAGTATACAATTCCCATATAATATTTAATACATATGATGATATTAATTCCTTTTAACATTAGTCTTCTTCTTTTTGTTTGGCCTGTTTGCATATACTCCTGGACAAAGGCCTCCCCATGAGTTCTCTACTCTTCTATGTTTTGTGCTTGGTACGTTTCTCCCTATTTTTGCTTTGATGTCGCCGTTTTTGTGGTCTTTCTCTACTACGACTATGCTCGCCTGGTCTTCAATGTATAATATTTCTCGTCCATCTTTCGTTGTTTGATCGTGTCACGTATCCTATCCAGCTCCATTTTATTTGCTTAGTACTTCCCATTACATCTTTCACCTTCGTCCTGCTTCGCACAACCTAATTTCATATATGTTTTCTCAGAGAACCTTCTAATAACATGGCTCGTTCAATGGTCCTCTGTGTCGTTTCTTCGAAGATCCTTTTCTTTAAATTTAGTGGCATCTCTTTGTTTTCAGCACAACACTGAATCTTCCTACTGCTGCACAAGTTATTCGGATCTTCAAATTCTATCAAATTTGTGGTGATTCGCTTTATATCATCTGACTATCTAGTTGTTGGTCGTATTCTGTTTCGATACGCCTCTTGTCTTGGTCGCCATTCAAGAATCATAACATTTTAAAGTATTTTACTTGTTGGATATGGACGTACAAAAAACCGTTTGCTGTAAAATTCATTTAAAATTGTAATATTTGTCCTATGGTCGGTCCACAGAATTCGTAACGCTCTGCTCCAACAGAACATTTTAGTTTCGTCTATTTTTCCTCTCCGCTGGTTGTAGGGTCCAATATTCAAATCTGTATGTCAATATTGGGAATATTAAGTTAGGAATATTTTGTTTTTTTTTTTCTTGTGAGATATGCCAATACATATATGTCACAAGAATACATCCATTCTAATATAACTGGTGTAATAACGTTTATTACTAATTTCAGTTTGAATTGTGGTGGGGTTCCGAAAAAGAACCGGAAGCTGGTACAATGATCGACTGGTGCGAATTTAATAAATACCTTGACTTGGAGTACACCTTTACAGAAGCCATTAAAGACGCGTCAATAGATGACACCCTTAAAGGAGTCGATCAGCAAAATAATACCTATAAAGAGTAGATTACGAAACTTTTATTTTGAATCTCTTTATACCAAAACAAATATTATTTATTAAATAAAGATTGGTATACAATTTATTCCTTTTTGCATGTTGTGTTTTCTTTATTATCTTTGCAGGCTTTAACTGGATCTGACATAGCGGTACCTTCCATATCCGGTTTTTTCTTGGATTGCACATTCGCTACCAATAATCTTAATTTGGCAATTGCTTTACCGGGTAATAATCTCTAAAAATAATAAAAAGCATTAGACTAATAATTTTGCTTATTATCTAAAGAGTATTTCTCCATATTTATAGTAATTATATTACAATTATTGTAATATTTTTTATTTTGAATCTCTATACCAACCTTTAGAAAAGTGGTCACGCAAAAAAATTTAGAAATCATGTTTTTTGAATGCCTTTTACATTAGTAAACTACAATAAACTATTCATTATACGAACAATGTAGTAATTTTTCGAAACTTCAAAATTTCTAGAGCATATTGTTTACACGATAACCAAAATTCATAATTTGAAAACGGAATCATCAAGAAACCTTAAAAAAATAATATCCCTCGAGTGTATTTCCTGTTGTGTCATGGCGAGACTAAATACATTCCTCTGAAAAGTTCGAATTTTATTTTCAACAAGGTCAATCAGTTTCTCCTGTTTAAAAAGCTTAAGAGAACAAGATGTCAGAGGTTGCAATCCAGCCACAGCCTTGATATCATGAGTGAGTGAAACCGTCTATATGTCCTATGGTGTCGAATAATACGGACATTATTGTAGTTACAAATAGAAAAAAAGTGTTCCCAAGTCTATCCCAGAAGGCAATTAGCAAAACAATAACTGTAACTTACTTAGAATAGTTCCTATACGTTCAGTGGCCAGTATATTTACTTACTTATTTACTTGCCTTTCATATTTCGATTACCATTGTTATAGCAATTTGAATTTTGGATTATATGACTGTAAATAAAGGGGTCAAAAACTGAAGAGGTATAATTTACAAACCTTAGACCAAGAAAGTTTTCAATTACTGTACAAATTAACACTTAACAGCAAACTTAAAGATGGTGATCTCAGAGATTTCAACAATATTAAAAAATACTATGAAAGGATCACATTATGCATCCATGAATCAGCAAAAAAAGCTTTGGGACAGTAAGAAAAAAGAGACAAAAGAGCAAAATTCTACTGGATATTGTGGCACTAGAAAGTGGCATATAAACAAACACAGATCAGAGTATGAAGGAAGAGATGCCAGAAAAATATAATAAGCTTGGGAGAGACAATGTGGAAAAATTAATTCATGTCTTGGAGGTTGTAGGAGTACAAAAAGCTGGAAGCTGATTAAAACATTACGCTGTAATAACAAAAAGAAAGTAATATCACCAATACAGCACAAAAATGGGATGAGTATTTCAAGGAGCTCTTAACTGAAGGCAGAGTACAGTATCTCAACAGAGTCGAAGACAAAAATGTGATAACGGTCGGATAGCCTCTGAGAATTATCGTGAATGAGTGAAGACAGATATATTATACAGAATAATATAAGGTAATGAAAAATGACAGAGGTCCTGGACCGGAAAACGCCTCTGTAGAATTCATCAAGTACGGACCGGAATTGTTATACAATCATCTCTTCCAACTATTACAGACCTTCATTAAGAGAACCGAAAATGTAACCAAACCAATAAGAATGCTTCATCTTATAAATCAATGTTGGTTTGGAATATAAAATACCTTTGATTTCTTTGATTTTTCTCTTTTTACCATCCGTTTCTTTTAGGACTATATTTGAATCATTCCATTGAACCCTATGTTCATTATCCCATGCGTGTTTATTGATTCAAATATAGTCCTAAAAGAAACGGATGGTAAAAAGAGAAAAATCAAAGAAGCGGCTCTAGTTATGCTAAATGAGACCAATTGTGTCGCAAATTCCTCGGCAGAATGTAGTAGGATCTGGTTACCATATTAAAAAATGAAGTTTTAAAAGGAAAATACCAGTATAAGTAAGTCAGTAACATATAGAGGATACATCATTTATGTCTTTTTAAATAACAAACTTATAAAATCAGAATTTGGTGTTTATTGAAGGTAAACTAAATGCACGACCAAATACTTACCATGTCGGGATAGTATTATGAGGTTTTTTTCCTGGTTTTTTCCCTTATAATTTACTATGGAATCACTAGCAGGAGAATTTTACTGTCATCATGGCATGTGTTTGTCTTTTTAAAGACGAATTACATGCTATGATTTTTTCTGACGGATATTCTCAAGTTAAAGTTGATTTCATGTAATCGAATAAACTATCTTACGCAACTGAACAATATTGGCAATATCATTTTAAAGTTGTCTACTTTAAAATGTATAATGTATGTCTGAATTTGTCAATATAAATGGGTCAGATAAAATTAAATTATTAGATTTTTTTACCAAGTAATTAAAAAACAAAATTTGTTTATTTACTAATGTTTCTATTTTGAGAAAGACTTCAGAAGTGGAAATTGAAAAGTTAATAAACTGACTTTAACCTTTAATTGAGCCTTATTCACATTTAAATAGTAATTATTTTAATTTGTAGCTTATGGCAATCTTCAAAAATAATATAACACGATATTTGTATAATAGTAATTGGATCTGTTAGGTACGTGGTAACAAAAAATATTAATTTATTAATACAAATGAAAATTTAAATTACCTTTGGACAGCAAACTGAACAATTGTTAATTTGGTGGCATCTAAAAACATTAAAATAGTTGCCTAATTCACTTAATCTTTGCTTGGTAGCATGGTCTCTGGAATCAACAATCCATCTGTAGCTATTCAACAATGCAGCAGGCCCCAAAAAATCGTTAGGTGCTTTAGAATGCCCATGCCACCAATATTCGGGGCACGATGTAGAACAACAAGCACAAAGAATACATTCAACCAGACCTAGCTACAAAGATACTTTTTAAATAAGTATAGTGTTCAGATTACTCAACTTACCATATCTTGTCTGTCTTTAACGCTTTGGCTAAATTGCATGTTTTTTTCTTCAGGTGGATGTCTTATTAAATACGGTTTTATTCGATTATGCTGCTCAATGAATTTTTTAAAATCTACCACTAAGTCTTTAATTACATACATATGAGGAAGGGGATAAACTTTTGTTACACCTCTGGGATTGATTTTTCTAGAAACAAAAGTTACAACATTATAATATTTGAATTTCAGTACTATATATGAACGTACAAACGTACTCCATTCAATTATATAATCTACAATATGAGCCAAATACACAGTCCTAAATACTGTTAATAGTAAATTTAACATTTAATATTTAGATAATTTGTTTCTGAAACTGTTATATTTAAGTATAGAAAGTGCTACATACAGTCCTACAATAATTAGGTAATCTAAAACTTATAAAATATAAATATATAGTTATCCTTGCGAAAACACAAACACGAAAAAACAAAGTTCCTTATATTATCATAAAAACGGAAGATCTGACAACAACGCAAATATCATATGAAGTTAGGTCATATTACAACTTCTATAAAACAAATTACGTAGTTATCATGTTAGCCGCTTTTGAAACAATTCAATCGTTTCATACATTTGCCTCACATTGTACGTACAGACACAGTAGTACGTATATTTCAATAATATCAAGTGCAAGTTAACAAACAATATATCGTTGGTCTAGCCAAAAGTGGTGCTAAGTGAAAAGCAGTTAATTCTCGTAATTGTAAAAGTTTACAACATAATATAAATTAAAATGATTTTATTTTATTTTAACATAAACCTTTTAAAATATTAAAATACAAATGTTCAAACAAGAAACACCAAAAGATATTTACTTTAAACATGCTAGTCCATTGACACCATCAATATTCATTCCACAAGAACCACAAATTCCTTCTCTGCAAGATTTTCTAAAGGTTAAAGATGGGTCCTGTTCAGTCTTAATTTTATTAAGAGCATCTAGTACAGTCGGTCTGCAACTAATTAAAAAGTATTTTATTAAAAATAGTTCTTAACTAATATTTTTTGTTTTTCTTACATTTTAAATACTAACATAAACGTACAGTATTCGCCAAAATAAACAATGCCGAAATTTCGACGGCTTTTCGCAGATGCTTTTAGAGGTAATAGTACAATATTTGACAAGAAATACCGAATTTTTAAACGAAATGCAGAAGAACAAGGAACTGATGCCTATGATCAAACTGTGTAAACTAACGTACATTGAACATGTAATAATTTGGTTGGTCAAAGGAGAGAAAATTCAGGCGAAAAAGTTTGTAAGAAGAAGACAAAATTCTTAAAGGAATAGAGCACAGTAAGAAGAATAGCTATCCACAAAATACGAGTTGATTTGTTACGAGTATTTACAACAAATCATCGAGTTCCATAAAAATATTTACCTATAGAGTACTACATACATTAATATTTCAATGCATGGACATTGTTGGTTTCGTTAAACATCAAATACGTCGATGATTTCACCATGATGGCTAAAATTCAGAATCTGCAAACTCTATTGAACGTATTAAACAATGAATAACTGAAAAGGGCCTAACTATCAACACAATGAAAACAAAATGGTTCGAAACGTTGTGTTACCGTTCATCAATCAGCCAATCGCGTCCATTGCTGGACATAGGCCTCCCTCAGTTCTTTCCAGAGTTCTCTACACTGGGCCTCTTGTAGCCAATTCTCGCTACACGTTTTATATCATCGTTCCATCTAGTCGGTGGTCGTCCTCGGCTTTTTTTTATAGGTTCTGGGCCTCCAAACGTTGTGTTACCGTTCATCAATCGGCCAATCGCGTCCATTGCTGGACATAGGCCTCCCTCAGTTCTTTCCAGAGTTCTCTACACTGAGCCTCTTGTAGCCAGTTTGCCGCTACACGTTTTATATCATCGGTCCATCTAGTCGGTGATCGTCCTCGGCTTCTTTTATAGTTTCTGGGCCTCCATTCCATAATACGTCTTGTCCACCGTCCATCTTGTGTTCTGGCTAAGTGCCCTGCCCAGTTCCACTTAAGCGTCGTGGTTCTTTCGATGACGTCTTGAACTCCTGATCTCTGCCTGATTTGTTGGTTTGTTATGTGGTCTCGAAGGCTCACATTCAGCATTGCACGTTCCATGGCTCGTTGTGTGTAACTCTGAGTTTATTCGCAGATTTTTGCGTGAGTGTTAAAGTCTCTGCTTCATAAGTTTGTACAGGCAAAGACATTGGTTATAAACCTTTCGCTTGAGACACATGAGAATTGTTACCGTTCCATACTGAAAATCCCGTGGACAGCACACATATCTAACAAACGTGTGTTAGAATATTTTGATATAGGGGAAGTGTGCCTATGTTGGACCCCTACCTATGATGGACCCCGTACTGTATTTTCAAATATGGCGCGGTTACATGCACATCGCCGGTTGCCGCGTGCGCACGAAGTTTGTAGTTTAGTATTTGCAAAGTTTCAGATTCGTGGCGGTTATAACAGTAAATTTGTGAAATAAAATTAAAATTTGGCGTTGCTGATCTAATAAAATTTTTTGGTAAGTGATATTTTACTGGTAACATACGTTAAGCTAAGTGTTGCTTTTGTTTTGCATAAAATGACACTTTCTATGTCAAATACTATACTTTGTTTTAGGTTAAAATGGTCAAAACAAAAGGACCAGAATTAAATTTGCTGTCTTGTCTATTTGCCTAGGAAGGACCCCTTTGTCGTTACCTATGACGGACTAGGGGTCCATCATAGGAAAAAGGAAATAAGTTGCTACTTAACGATTAACATAATACATTTTACAAGGATGGATCCTCATAAAAGGCAAAAGTGGAATGAGAGTAATATGAGAGAGAGTAAAACTATGGGGTTTAAGCTGGCAGCAAAAACATTTAACGTTCCAAAGACAACTTTGAAAAGGCGCTTTAATAAGCAACAAGGAAGTACCAAGGGTGGTTTGGGATGACGAAGACCAATATTTTCCACTGCTATTGAAAAGGAAATTGCTGACCATATTATCACCATAGAAGCTCGTTTTTTTGGCCTGACCAGTAAAGATTTACGAAAACTTGTACGTATACAAAGTAGCTGAAAGAAAGAATATTAGCCACAGTTTTAATAAGGAAACCAAGATGGCAGGCTGGAAATGGGCCAGAGGCTTTTAAAACGAAATCGTCTAATATTATTACGTACTCCAGAAAATACTTCATTGGCAAGGGCTCAAGCTTTTAATAAACCAAATATATGTCTCTATTTTACAGCATTAGCACATATATTAGACGAGTTTTCAATTTCCACCGAAAAACATTTATAACATGGACGAATCCGGTTTGATAACTGTGTGTAGCCTTCGCTCAAGAAAAAGGATGAATAACTTCCAACATTTTCTGTCTGACTGCAACATTTTTTAAGGTATTCAAAGGCTTCTCAAACCAATCAAGTTTTGTTGTTACTCGATGGTCATGGTAGTCATAAAAGTTTTTAAGCTCTCCAGTTTGCAAAAGAAAATGGTATTATTATATTTTGTTTCCTTGCTCACTGCTCTCATCACGTTCAACCCTTGGACGTAGGATATTTTAGACCACTTCAAACTTACTACGGCCAAGAAATTCAATTATGGCTGCGACAGAATCTAGGTAAAACGGTTACCCAATTTACAGTAGCCAGTATCTTACTTAGTAGCTTATCTTAGCTTAATAGAGCATATTTAAAACGTGCTTTTCCATAAAATGCAATAAATGCGTTTAAAAAGACAGGAATAGAACCATTAAATCCATATGTCTTCGAGGATTGGCAATTTTTGCCGTCTATAACAACAGATAAAGAAAATTATGAACAAAAGCCACTACCAGGATGTTCTGACGAGAACTCACTACAGGAACATCGGAACCAAAATATTTCTTCGATTGAAGGTTTATCAAAAATCACTGATCAGAAATCAACATCATCGTCAGTCCTAAACATTTCGGTCGAAGATATTTGTCCTCCTCCTTTAGCTGGAGTATTTGAAGTAACTCAGAAAAGGGGTAGAAAACGGGGTAAAACAAATCATTTAAATTCAACGCCAGAAATTAATTATATGAAACAAAAAATTGCAGAAAAAGAAGAAAAAAAAAAAAGAAAACAAGACTCAAGAAAAGTAAAAAGGCAAGTTCGTGTTTAAACTACAAACAGTTCTGAAGTCGATTGTGAATCTTCTTTTGAAGAAGACGACTCGGACGATGCAGCTTGCATTTACTGTAACGAACTATTTTCGCATTAACGATACAAAGAAAAATGGATTCGTTGTCAAGTGTGTAAGAATTGGTGTCACAGTAAATGTGTAGATGTAAATTCTGGACATAAACAATTTGTGTGTGAATTGTGCATGTAACTTTTTTCTTAAAAATACTTATTTGTAATATTATTTATCGTTTAGAATATCTTTTGGTTTAATAAAATAATTTGGTTATTCACGTATTTTATACAAAATGCAACGGGTCCATCATGGGCGTATCAAAGGGTTCATCATGACCGTATCTATGCCCATGATGGACCCTTAACAGGATTTTAGTAAACTATGAATAACTTTTGTCATCTTAATTTTTATCAAAATTTGAAACATTTGCATATTATACAAATAACAAGACGTTATGTTATGTGCTCATATTTAAAGCCTGCTAAGTAAATAATTAAAATAATTATGGAGATTTTTCTTTAAGGGGTCCGTCCATCATAGGCACATTTCCTCTACAACTAACCAGAATTGATTAACACCATTAACATGAAAAAGGTTCAGTATTTTAGTCATATTATCGCATACTTATGTGGTTAATCATTTAAGGCAGTTCTGGAAGTAAATATTGGTCCAGCTGCATAACATTAGATATTGAACAAGAGGAACCGACGATAAATCGTTTCATGGAACTATCGACCGTGAAGCATTCCAGCATTATTAACATGATGATAGTCAGTCAGTGCTTGTACAAACTATGTAACTTATGATCAATGATTTACGACTTAAACGGGGAAGACGACTTATTAAATTGAACTCTAGTTATAAAAGCCTATGGCCACCGTAAGAGCCTTCTACTTTTGTATATAAAAAATTGCATGCCTTATCTCATCCTCCAAAATGTATATAACGTAAAAACTGGATAAACCTTTTAATATCTAATTTATAAGATCGATAATATATTGCTTTGTAGTTAGTTTATTTCCAGGATCATAATTTGGGTGTGAAAAAAAAGATATATCTTAACCCATCCGTAAAAATATATATATAAAAAACTGTAGAAATCGTTTAATACGTACTCGTTAAGATCGATGGTATATGACTTCATCGCTGGTTTACAACCTTCCTTTTCAGGATCATAGCGATAAACCTTAAAGGTTTTAAGCAATGGTTGTTTCTTGGCTGCTGCCTCTTTAGGAGGTTTTTTAACCTCAGTATTTGCTTTCGCAGCAGTCGTTAACAATCTGGAATGAAGAATTGGTAGAAAGGTGCATTGCACAAGACATTTTTTTAAAATCGTTTTTAAAATTAGCATTTTAAAAGTGACATTTATTTCAATAATTTTTTAATATTGTGTCAAAAAATAGTAAACAGAAACGTCCATGGTACATTTTAATAAATAGCAATATGAAATAGTTTTAGCACGAATAGTATAGAGGTTTTTTTTATTTTGGAAATATGTGATTGTATACCCCTAACTGTTATATTTCAAATTATTGACAATCAGAAGAGAAGAGGAATTTCACATCGTTGCCAAATTTAAGAATAGTAGTTATTTATTTATATTTATATATTTATTAATATAGTTATTTATTAATAAAGGGGTCTGGGTTTTCTAATATTGTATTTAATATTACAAATAAATAATTTTTCTGGTAAGTAGAATCCTACTGAGGCTTTGTTATTTTTGTTTATTATGACAGAATCCCATCCGTCACTTTTGTTGTTCCGTGCAAATTGGCAACGTGTCTTTTGCTTTGAACGTAGGTAGGTAAAGTTCCTGTTGTTTTTTTAGATCTTAAATAAATCTTAAAAATCGGCTGTAATTTTAAGCCATCCTTATTTTAATTTATTAGAAAATAGTGTTTAGTGATCTTGGTAATAAATATTTATAAGTAGTTAAAGTGATTTATTATATTTTGTTGTGAAAATATCTGATGTCCGTAAGTTAGGTTATACTCAATTGTTTTACTGTATTATTTAACTTTTTAGATTAATCTACAATGGGTCGTGTAATTCGTGCACAACGTAAAGGTGCGGGATCTGTATTCAAGTCCCACACCAAAAAGAGGAAAGGAGCACCCAAACTACGTTATTTAGATTTCTCAGAAAGACATGGTTACATTAAGGGTGTTGTAAAAGATATCATACATGACCCTGGTCGTGGTGCTCCATTGGCAGTAGTACATTTCAGAGATCCCTACAAGTTCCAAACTAGGAAGGAATTGTTTATTGCCCCTGAAGGAATGTACACTGGACAATTTTTGTACTGTGGAAAAAAAGCTAACCTCCAAATTGGTGAGTAAAGTGTAGATTTTTATTTAAAATGTTTCAAAGTTTTAAATTCATAAATAAGTTATGCTCCTAATACTTTTCCAATAAGTTGTTCAAAAGTTTTTTGTAAATTTTCAAATTTTTCATAACAAAACACCAGATGTTTTGTCATTTTTATATTCTTTCCATTTGTTTTTTCTCGACTTTATAATGAAGAGCATAGTTTTCAGTTTATGTTGCGTTTCTTTGTTTATTCTTTTCAGTTTTTTAACTAATTATTTGACTAACTTTCACATATATAAAGCAATAGAAAAAATACTCAGGTGCACTATGAAGTCACTTTATTTATCAGGCTTGTTGGTAGTGTAGTAAAGATAAATTTTTAATGTGTATCATTTAGAGAAATGTATCAGTTTTCCATATATGCTGACAAATAGACTATTCACATCCTCAAGACAGTGTAAAATCTAGTTTTGTGTACATATGATGATTTCTAATTATACCTACATCTGATATATTATTTGATGTTATTTAGAGGCTCTTTCTGAAGACATTTTCATTAGTTTGTTTATTCTCAACATTATTTTACAGTGTGTTAACATTAATTTTACTTTTAGGAAATGTATTGCCTGTAGGAACTATGCCTGAAGGTACCATTGTATGCAATTTAGAAGAAAAAACTGGTGATCGTGGTCGGTTAGCTCGTGCATCTGGAAACTATGCTACTGTAATTGCCCATAATCATGATACAAAGAAAACCAGAGTTAAGTTGCCCTCTGGAGCCAAGAAAGTTATTCCATCAAACAATAGGGCTATGGTTGGTAAGTTAATTAGTTTTTTGTTCAATGATGACTACCATTAGGAATAAAATTATGTTTTTGTTAATAAATAAAGCGTTTTCTAACTAGGACCTTCATGCTTTTGATAGTTGGCAGTGGCCATACTGTTGATGACTATTATCCATAAATTGTGAAGGCAGCTTTTGGTTAATTTTTTAAATTTGTAATTGATCCAAGAAGCACCAAATAAAAGTGCATCAAGTGAACCCTTGATGGTCCCCTTTGGCTATAATGTGCTGATTACTTTAGAATGAAGAAACTTTATGTAAATCTTAAGAAAATATTAGATTGACATAAATTAATATATAAACTAGATTTTAGGCAAACTAGTCATTATATTATTTATATTGGGGACATTTATAATATTGAGTTAAAATAAATTAAGTAAAAACTAGATTTTAGGCCATATTTAAAAATATATATATCATAATGATGATTTCTAATATACCTACATCTGATATATTCTTGATGTATAATTAGAGGCTCTTTCTGATGAAGTACATTACTATTAACTATTGTCATACACTAGTTCATCATTTATTGAAATCAAATATTTTTTCAGGTATTGTTGCTGGAGGTGGTCGTATTGACAAACCAATCTTGAAAGCAGGTCGTGCTTACCACAAATACAAAGTTAAACGTAACTGCTGGCCTAAGGTACGTGGTGTTGCTATGAACCCTGTTGAACATCCTCACGGAGGTGGTAACCATCAACACATTGGTAAAGCATCCACAGTTAAAAGAGGAACATCTGCTGGTCGTAAAGTTGGTCTTATCGCCGCTAGGAGAACTGGTAGGATTAGGGGAGGCAAAGTCGATGCCAAGAAAGAAGATTAGGCTATATGAGTTAAAGTTTTTTGTACAATCTGTATCAGTGTATTTCTTGTGGATTATATTTATATTTGGATATTCTAAATTCATTGGAAATATATTGATTTCATGTTTTTTCTGTTTTGTTTTAAATCCCTAAAACTAAATGCTGATTTTTAAGCTATCATTAATGAAAAATAGCAAATATCTGGTTGTAGAGAATTGGTACAAAAGTAATTAGAGAATTACCAATATATTTAGGAGTTACGTTAGTAAGAAAAAATGTACCTAGATATTTTTAGAACTTGAGTTACAATTTGTTAATAAACTGTGTGAATATTTTTTATTAAATATTGGCTATGGTCATGTATGCTTAGCTGTATAATAATTTCTAGCTACTAACAGTCAAATTTAAACAAAATAGCAAAAACGATTTACTAGACAGTTGGACTAGGATCAGTAAACCAAGTATATCATATTCAGCAAGTACATGTGATTCCTTGTGACACATCAAGTCCATAGCAAATTGCTTGTGTCAAATGCATAAGGCAGACCACACCCCAACAAAACACAGATAGTGGTGTGAGAAGTGATGGTGATTAAATCACACACTGAGGACTTAAATTATAGCCAAGACCACTAAACATTGTGCAAAAAGTTAAAACTATTCTAGAGAACTATGACCACAGAAAGTTGAATTAGTTTAAATTAAAATAAAGAATCACATATTTTAACATGAATGTTGACAGAGGAAGACACTGAAAAACTATGAGAAAGTCAAGAAACAGTTAGTTACAATATACCTTTATAGCTGAGTGTGACTTTCCTTAAAAAAAACTAACAAGAACTTTCAAGAAAAAAGATGTGAATCATCGATGACAGTTCTGCCAATTCACACTGCATTTAAAAGTAGAGCATGAAATATTGTTTCCTAAGCTATTTTCTTATGTCATCTTAACATCATTTAAAATGTTTAGTTTGACATTTCGATTTCCAACTCAGAAATCATTCTCAAAATACAAATTATAACACATTATGTTGTTTTGTTACTTGGTAATACAAAAAATCTAATTAATTTTATGTCTCAAATCTAAAAATTTAGATTAAACACATTAGGAAAGAATTTTAATATGGGTATAGGCTTTCAACAGGAGGAAGTGAAAAAGGCATATTTAAAACAGCATAGGATTATTAGGTCCCAGTCAAAATGTAGATAGTGGAGTAACTCAAGAGAAGAGGTTCAAAATTGTTGCCAAATTTATTGTTATTTGATATGTTCTCTGTTTATCATTTAAAAAATGTGCTAAGACAGTCAAATTAATGGCAGCTTACTATTTTTAGAGTAACATGATTGGTTAATCCTTTCTTGTCATATATCCATGCCATTATGATTTTTACTACTAGGAAAAATAATTCATTGTCCTGCAAATAACATTTTTTATCCCACTGCGGTGTTTGTCCTCTGTCTTATAACTAAACGCAAAATTGAATTATTCTCTACCTCAATTTAGCTTTAAGACAACCCGTCGCCGTTGTTCAATGCTAGTTTTGGTTCGTCCTGGGTGCCTGATGGAGGTCTAGCAACTCCACACGTGTAGAAAAGGTACCTACATAAGATTCGACCTTGCATAATAGTCCCTTTATCACACTCGTTATGTAATATATGTGTATCCATAAACTACATTTAAAATAAAATACGGTTTGTAACAAATAGCTTTATTTAATAAATAAATAATGTGTATAAATAAATATTCTAATCATGTTTTACTCTTGGTCCCAATTCAAAGCTCTTTGTAAGAGGTAAACTGACATCTTTTAATTCAATAATTACCTGAAAATTAAATAACTATTAGATACTGCGTCAAACTGCGAATTTCTAAAAATGTTCAGGGTTTTAGATATAAGTAGATACCCATTCATTTTCTGATGACATTCACAAATAGTTGAAATGGCTGAAAAAAATCACAAGCTGCTATCAGTTTCGGAAGTATTTAAAACGAAGTGTGTTTCAAATCAAAATTCATTGCAGAAAAAATGATGGGTGATCGTTTTTAGTTGTGTTTTATTATGCAAAGAAATAAGTTGTACCTAATTCATTGTTTAATGTACAGATAAATTATTATTTTTAATTTTGTTATTATAGAAAGTACCTACGTCATTATGGTATGTGTATTGGTTAATGGATGCCTGCTAAGATGTTATATAAACCATAACACATAATATCTACAAGATAGACTGACAGTTTTCTCTGCCGCACTGGGAGAACGGGCTGGTATTGCAATGATCAGTCTATCTTGTATTATATGTTTATGGCATATACAATTCTAGACCTAGCTTTAAACTCATAAAACAATGCACCATCTTAGGAACAAATCTTTATTTATGTGTCTCAGTTAGCAATCAATAATAGTCGTACCTGACCCAAAATTTCATTTTTAATCACTTTCTCTTCAATTACAGATACTTCCAAATATTTTTCATTGATTTCGTCCTGAGAAACTAAAAATTCAAGCTTCTTATCAAAAGCTGGTTCTCTACATCCTTTCATTACCTGTAAAAATATAAAACAAAGTAAGAACTCATTGTAATTACTAAAATTAGATAACGTTTTGTTAAAATGTAGTACAAATAAATTGGTTTGGTAATTTACTGAGTTCTTTATTTTTCATCTTTCCGGCGGAATTTGGTAGCCTTGAACCTTTTCTTGTCACCCTATTGTTTATAACCAATCTTGTCACCCTATTGTTTATAATGAAATGAACAAGATCCAAGACAGCAATATTAAAATACGAATTATAGTTGATAATTATGACTCTAGATTAATAAACGATCTAAGATTATGACATCGTTTTTTGAGATAACAAATAATTTATGTAGCATATTTGCAATGTTAATTTTGCTATATGTTAAGCTAGCTTTCTTTTGTTCTTTTCATCCAACTTTATTCTTTATTTTCAAAGAGATAGAACAATAATTTTAAGAATCATTCTGAATGAATCGTATTCATGATCATAACTCTACAAACCAGTGGAACCAGTTGACAAGTGACATCATGCGAAATAGGGGGACTTCGACATTATTAAAGAAATATTACTACTGATTAGAATACAACAATTTGTTTGCCGCAAGTAATCACTGAACTTTGAAAAGCTCATCAAATGTCGAATCATTCTCCACCAAGAGAATGCAAGTTCGCATTCATCATATTTCATCGTACACAGCTTATAAGACAATCGCATTTTTACGTGAAATTATTCTGAAGGAAGAAGTCAGGTTTGAGTAATTTCAAAATTGTAAAATCTTCTTTGAGAATATTTCAAAAAATAATAGTTTCTAAACGCTATCGACTATTTTATTCCAGCTTGCTATGGAAAATAGAAAAGACACCAATCATTGTTCCAAAAATATTCTAAACAAATCAAACAACGGCAATAAAACGTTTCATTTTGTTGATTGGTTTCTTTTTTATTTGTCTTTAATACACAAAGCATAATCCCATAAGTATGTGAGGTTACTCCATCGAGCAATAAGACAAAAGAGGGAATGTAAAGGTAGAAGGGGTAAACATATTGATAGACAGGAAGTGCCATCTTGAGAGGCCACTTTAGACAAGGATAGACTGTCTCTTTCCTTGTTTAAGAAGTCAAATTTAGTTTGGTTATGTTATTGTTTGTCCCAACTGTCACATGAAATTTTATTTATATTGAAGTTTTTTACCAATTGTGTCACTTTTTAGACTATTATCGTTAATATTTAATTAAAACTTTCTTGTCTGAAAAATATTTTACAGGTATTGTTAACAAGTGTTGGAAAATTTAAATTTAGCGCCTTTGCATTTCCGGATATGCCCGTCATCAGAGGCCACTTTTTTGGTCTCCTTTTCATAACGATTAAATTCCCTCTTTTGTCTTATTGCTCGATGGGTTACTCTGTGCTACAGTGAACGCTGCGAACAAAAGGGTTAGTTTATTTTGCCTATGTGCTGAAAATCGTTGGAATTTAAACTAAATTAATGAAACCTACTTTTTTGAGTCCATTACTCCAATTATAGTAATATCTTTATTTAACCAGGACGACAGAAAAATTGTTCGCCCCAAAGTACTGGATATGTACCATCGAGCAAAAGGACAAAAGAGGGAATCTAATCGTTATCATAGATAAATAATATAATAGTAGAAAATCGTTATGAAAAGAAGACCAAAATTCATAAAAGTGACCTCTTAATATGGCGGACATATCCGAAAATGCAAAAGCGCCAAATTTAAATTTTACGACACTTCACAATAATCATACAGTGGTGTAGGGGTTCTAATTTATCTAATAGAATTAGTACAAAGTTTGAAAATATTAATATAATGATTGCCTTAATTAGGAATATATTTCATGTTTTTTTATAAGGTCATAAAACAGTAACTATAAAATATTTTTCAGAATGTGTCTTAAAACAAAAAAGTTTTAATTAAATTATAACGATAATTGTCCAATATGTGACACAATTGTTAAAAAATTTCAATATAAATAAACTTTCATGTGACAGTTGGAACAAACAATAACATAACCCAACTAAATTTGATTTCTCAAACAAGGGGAGAGACTGTTTCCTTGTTTAATGCGGCCTCTCAAAACGGCACTTCCCGTCAACAATATTTTTACCTCTACTACCTTTAAGATCAATTCAGACACATCAGTCCCGTTATAGTCTCGGCGCCAAACCGGTCCTGTTTGGTCACAGAACTATCAACTATCTGACAGCTGGGAAACGTTTGTCAACTGATGAGTGTGAATGCCGGCAACCGGCAACATATTTGTATTAAAGAATATTTTGTATGACGGATTGTCCGATTCGGCGCAATCACTGTGACGAGACGTGACTGATGTGTCTGAATTGACCTTTACATTCCCTCTTCTGTCTTTTTGCTCAATGCTGTGTACATAAGGTTTAAACAAATATAATCGTTTATAAACGTATATTAGGTGTCTAAAAATTACCTTAGTTTTCCTTTTCGTTGCTTTGCATCGTTCTGGCAGTAAATAAAGTTTAACATAAATATCCTTGTCTTCTGTAGGATCCTCAAAACATAAATTACTAAAAATAAATAAATTTTTATAGATATGTTTTTTTACGTTTTTTATTATTTTTACCTTACTCTGTGAACTACTACTATAAGTCTTTGTCGTTGCAAACTGTATCTCATGGTTAAATTTATATCACCATAACATTCTTGTGACAGCCTGAAAATAAAAAAAATACTTAGTAGCACTATATAGTTATTTGAAAAGGATGGGTTAGAATCTAATCTTTTATTGACAAATATTCTTTAAATTTTTTACATCTCATTTAATGTCTGTATGTTGTTAATTATTTTACATGTAGTTTTTAATTTAAACCTGCTGAGAATAAATATGTGATAACTACAAACAAAGTGATCGAGAGTAATGAATCGATATGAAGAACCGCTATTTTTTGAAGCATGTTGTGGTAATCGTTCAGTGACGACGGCATATTGTGACGCTCGCCTACATTTTACTATAGAGAAAAAAGTACTACAACGCCAACATAGAAGCTGGGGGGGGGGGGGTAAAATTATTTGACCGCACTCTCACATTTAAAGGTCCCTACGAAGAAGACACATAGGCAAAGATTTCCTCAAGAAATGACATAACACGTAAGCTGCGTAGAACAAGTTGGGGAGCTCAGCCTACAGTCCTAAGAACATCAGCAATGGTTTTGTGTTTTTCTGCAGCGAAATAGTTAGATCCAGTTTGGAATCGCTCCGCTTACACTCATTATGTTGATCACACTATAAACCTAGCAAACTAATATCCGGGTACTTGGAACCTACTTAAGTCCATTACTTATACTCGTTGATCCAAATTGCTCCTCTAAATATCAGAATAAAAGTGATTTCTGAAATCGAGAAGAAGAAGCAAGAGAGTGACCTACGTTATCTCATGTTTGGCCAGAGAAGTCACCAATCAAGGTTAAAAGGAGGAGCTTCATTATTACTACGCCTTCGATTGAAACCACCTGAACGACGCCGCCCACAGCTTTAGAGATAAGCGTCGGTTGCTGGTGCTTCAGCCCCAAAAAAAAGGAATGGCTACAGGTCACCAACTACCCCACACCACATGGAGGTCTCTAAATAGACACAGAATGTAGGTCAAACTTAAAAAGATACAGAAGATGGGAAGTGTCCTGAATATCTATTGATTTGCATAGACTTGACCCAGCCATGCACTCACCTTTACCAAATGGCAGCTTATGACAGAGCCATCTAAGTAGCGAAACATTGGCAGTATTAAATTTAAGGACGTGATTCGGACAGGGAAAGTAAAGTAAGTATTTACTATTTCACAACAACACAACAATTCGATTTCGCCAGGTAGAAATCGTATGATTTCTCTTTTTGTTCTTAGATGGCGTAGTTACGTCCGTAAATAGTTATTCCTAATAACTATAATCTACGACGGGAAAATATTTTGGTTTGATATGGAGTAGTAACTATACCGTACTGAGGAGATCTAAAGAGATCGAAATACGTATATGCGGCTTGTTGCTGCTCTGTATCAAATCAAAATATAATACCGTCATTTGTTTTGATTATTTACTTCATTTGGAGTACCAGAAATCGAATTCACTACGAATATAGGCCATGATGAACGGCATTTGGAGTGCAATTTTTAGACTCCCTTGCCGATGCATTCATCAAGCTGTTTGCTTCGCAAGTCTTAGGGAGCACGGCGGCCTATATTTGAATTCGATTTCGCCAGGTAGAAATCGTATGATTTCTCTTTTTATTTACTATTTGTTCTGTATACCATTAATCTGTCTCTTTCCAAGCTGTGTTTTAAGTTATGGAAAAACCACTTTTTTTTGGTTTTGTGTAGTACCGTGATCAGTTTAATGTCGAATATTCTATTTTTTTTCAGCATTGTTGACGTTGAAACTTATATCAATTTGTCACTTTACAACTAAAATTTTCAAATGCAGACCCCATTAGGATTCGAATCGGTTATTTGTTGCACATACATATCCTGACCACACCTGACCACCGAGGCTATTTCCAAGTTTCCTAAATTATGGTATCTGACGTCAACTTTAATGTTTTGTTTTTATAATTAACTAAGTACGGATGTATTATATTTTTGTATGTGGTCAAAGTACGCTGTTTTGTAATTTTTTGATAATTATAGGTCGTGACTTTAATTTTTTCTTTAAACATAAACAGATTTACATACTAATCGTTATTGTAAAAAAAATTTACCTGGAAGTTATCGAACTACTCGATCTCAGAGAAAGTCTAGTGTGCCTACGACTACTACGACTAGTGTACTTTGTACTATCACTGGAAACAGAATCAGAATCTGATCCTTGTTCTATGGTGTCTGCGCCTAAAAAATAATGTTATATCGTAATAAAGTAAAAGTATATCTATAACTTACTTGATGAAGAAGCCCTTGAGGAAGGTCGCTTTTCTAAATATTCTTGAAAATTAGCGTTGTGGAAAATCTAAAAAGTAACATTTTTAAATATATTTTGACAGGACATCCAATTCTATTTTTTTCAGTATTAATAATATATAGAGCAGGGCGGATCTGTTTTGAGGTGGATGTGATTCAAGTTTTGTGATAACTTCAATTACATTAATTAACCCATCCTCCCTCTCAAACAGGTCGGGAATATTAATAAAAAAATTTAAATACATATTTAAAAAATACTTAACACGTTTGCGGACAAAGCGGCATATGCCGCTTTATGTACAGGGACAGAGCGGAATATCCCGTCCAAATTCTGAGAGTGTTGTAGACTCAGCGGCGATTGCCGTATAAAATGTATATCATTTTCCGTAGTGGCATGTTTACTGGATTTAATGGATTCCAAAGAGGAAAGAAGGCTACTACAGTTATTGGAAGAAATAAGTACAGACGAATATGATGAGTCTGATACGGATAATTTTAGTAATGATGAGGATATCGTTGATCCAGAGTGTACCGCTAGTACTAAGAGTAGAAACAAATTAAAGAAATTATAAATTTCTAATTATTGTTCCCAAAGTAAGATGTTATGAAAATGAATGACCATCATGAACTGTCTCAGACAATTATTTCTTTGCTGGGCTTCCAAAAATAAATATCTTTTCACCCGTGCACGTAATGTTAACCAAAGCGTCGATATATTCCGCTACTATAAATTCAGGTTTGTGACCAGATGTTACATTTATAGCTGTTTGTATGTTCAATTAATATATCATCGTCTTCATAAGCTTGATCAGCATTAAATAATGCGGCTGCTCGAAGTTGCTGTTACAAATGAATCATAAAACGATTTTTGTTCATTTCATTCAATAAAAATTGTTCCTAAGATACTGTTGTACATAGCTGTAGATTGTAAATCAATATCAGGAAAAACTTTTTAAGCTTGACAACGCTTTTTGTCCATCTTTATACTGTTATCAGAGTTTTTAGGATATCCGTCAAAAATAATGTAGATTGTTAGGTGAAAAACTGCTTATTAACGAAGTCGACGTAAGTATTTAAAATTATATTAAACGTTTGTGTTTGTGGAAAAACTACTTTATGGAGGAATTGAACTTTGAAATCGTCCATCGAAGACATCACGCTATTGAGTGTAGACGGAAAGTAGAAGAACGAAGAAGAGTAGAAGAAGGATCGTTACGCATAATCAAACGATTATCAAGCCCACACACTGCACGGCGTACGGAAACAGAAGAAGAAGACGTAAACATTAAATAAAACTATTAACAACCAAACACATTGACCAAAATGATTTTTACAATTATTACAGACTTTTACTGGAGTCAAGAGCCAGATACGAATGTGTTTGAAATCCGCTCATATTTAACTTATTTAAAAAACAAGTGTTGAAAAGACGCTAAGGAATAACCATCGAGCAAAAAAAGACAAAAGAGGGAATGTAAAGGTAGTGGGGACAAACATATTGTTAGACACTAAGTGTGATCTTTAGAGGCCACATTAAACAAGGAAAGAGAGTCTCTTTCCTTGTTTGACATCAAATTTAGTTGGGTTATGTTATTGTCTGTCCCAAATGTCACATGAAATCTTATTTATATTGAAGTTTTTTAACAATTGTGTGGCATTTTAGACTATTATCGTTAATAATTAATTAAAACTTTCTCGTCTAAGACACATTCTGAAAAATATTATAATATAGCTACTGTTGATAAGTGTCGGAAAATTTAAATTTGACGCATTCGCATTTCCGGATATGTCTGCCATCAGAGGCCACTTTTTTGGTCTCCTTTTTATAAGGATTAGATTCCCTCTTTTGTCTTTTTGCTCGATGGGAATAACCCATCGAGCAATAAGACAAAAGAGGGAATGTAAAGGTAGAAGGGGTAAACATATTGATAGACAGGAAGTGCCATCTTGAGAGGCCACTTTAGACAAGGATAGAGAGTCTCTCTCCTTGTTTGACATCAAATTTAGTTGGGTTATGTTATTGTTTGTCCCAAATGTCACATGAAATCTTATTTATATTGAAGTTTTTTAACAATTGTGTCGCATTTTAGACTCTTATCATTAATAATTAATTAAAACTTTCTCGTCTAAGACACATTTTGAAAAATATTATATAGCTACTGTTGATAAGTGTCGAAAAATTTAAATTTGGCGCCTTTGCATTTCCGGATGTGTCCGCCATCAGAGGCCACTTTTTTGGTCTCCTTTTTATAACGATTAGATTCCCTCTTTTGTCTTATTGCTCGATGGAATAACCAACAAACAATTGTTTTTTGCTGTGTCTATTAACAACCTGCACAATTTATACCTCATCTATGGTTTCAATATGTGTTTCAAATAATGGTAATAATAATCCTTTTTATCTAGTTCTACATTCATTAATTATTTATATTAGTATGAGGACGAATGACTTACGGAATTTGTATAAATTAGACTTTTCATTATAAACTTACCTTTAAATGCAGTGACCAAATCAATTTACGATCACTTTTTCCATATTCTAGCCTTAAAACTTCTTTTTCTACTTCCAAATTCTCTTTGGTGCATATACTACTAATATTATAACTAAGTTCACTAAGTTCAGCATCAGTTTTTGCGTCAAATATTTTTAAATTAAGGTAATCCGAGTCGGGATTTGTTACCATAAATATGAAACTTTCTTCCCACACTGGATTTACTGTTCTCATCACCGAATTGGTGGTTTTAATTTGTCTACCTAATTGAAGCTGGACATACGGATCGGGTTTTGTTGACGCCCTGACTTGCTGCAAGAGAAAATTATAAAATATTTTATTAATTCTTCGTTGCAAAACAAATAACATAAAACAGAAATCTTATCATTAAGTCTTATCATTTTTAGCATATAGTTCATAGTAAGAGTCGATAGTAAGTGCAGTACGATAGCGGTCTGATAAGTACTTAATCTCAGCGCCGCCAGGCGCCACCATCGCAAGATAGATTTACTTACGTCAAAATTTCAGTCAAATCGGGCTTTGTAGTTTTGTTTTGACGGCGTATGAAAAGCGAGCGTGTTCGTGGATCTTCGAAAAATGGAAAAAGAGTTTGGTCGGTGATTCGAGTCTTGCTTTTGGACGGTAAATCGCGCAGCAAAATCAAAGAGTGCTTGAATGTTATGTACGTAAAGGATTTAAAGATATAGCTCTATAGGGGAGCACTATCTACAGGATCAGTTCTATATAAACCTTACACATATTTAATAAAAATCTTCCAAAATATACATTATAATACTACCAAAAACGGCTTTCGCACAAAAAAAATAAAAACTCAGTAAAAGCTGACAAACGTTGGACAGACGAGCCAACACAAAACGCGAGTATACACAACCAGAGGGAGTAAAGATATTAACGATACTTCCAAAAACAAGCGACCCAACACCAACAAAAACATTAAGAGATTTGCAACTTTTATCAATCTCAAAATTCAAAAACGACGCCAGCAGCCTCCCCACAACCTGAATAATAACGTCGGACGAAGAGTGATGGAGTACTTGTGGATTGGGATGGACTGTCTCTGAACGATAAGAACTTAAGCGTACTCTAGATGCATGGATTCACAACAATAAAATATGTATGTAGAGTAGGCGTCTCACAGAAAACAAACAAAGCTAATGGTTCGTCAGACTGTAAGCCAAAATATAAATTACCTTCAACAGTGGACAACAAAAATAATATAGTGTTTATTAAAAGGTAAAATAAAAGTAAGAAAAAATAAAAAGTTTAAGAAACGATAAAAGAACAAAGAAAACTGTACACAGAGTGCCAAAAAATAGACCTGACACCTATGTCCCAAAGTTAAAAGATGTATAAAACTTTATACAATAAACTTGACACCAGAGAAGCCTAAGCGAATGACGTATACAAAATAGCCAAATATAGAATAAAAAAAAGCAAAATATTTTCAGCGGCTTAGCTGGATCTGTGAGTCGTGGGACAATATCCAAGAGATTAAGGCCGTCCGCACATGGGTTGATCGAAGGCACGCGTCTTAGTTCATGCGTCGTGCTCGTCTCGTACGAACCCTGCTGCACGAGCGATTGTTCACCGCACACTAGTCGATTCAGTTTGCTGTTTGCTCACATCTGCCAACCATTTTTTTGTATATCCATATTGGCATATTCTTTCATTGTATAATTATATAATTGAGGGTATTTTTATACTTTCCCAACGAATTTTATTTTAAACACCTAGAAAGAGAAATTCAATGTTTTCAGAATTTTATATTACAAACAATATGTTTCTACAAAGCTAGTAGTACTACAAACAGCGAACATAATATTCGTCGATCTTAAAAAAAAATTATTTTGGGCCAAAAACAAAAAAACGAACAAAGTTAATACAATAATCTTATCCTCATGACTGAAAACGTGCGTCTCACTAGAACTTTCTCGTGCGCTACCGATCGCAAGTGACGATAGTCGTACAAGACGAGGAGATTTGTAATTCTAGACGACCACTAAACGCCCCGTCTGCGGAGCTCAATGCAACAATGAAGGAACTTGAATTTCGCATCGGAAAGGCAAAGAGTGCATTCTTGACTATGAGTTCAAGAGCCATGACTATTTCAATGCATTTTACAAGGTAAAATTGAGGGAAAAGGGGTCCAAGGACGAAGAAGAATATCCTGGCTTGCTAACCTGAGAACATGGTATAGAAATACCTCAACACAGCTATTTCGTATAGCAACCAACAAAATCATCATAGCCAGAATGATCGTCAACGTTCGGAACCGACAGACACCATAAGAAGAAGAAGCTGGATCCGAAATGATAATATTAAAATACTAGTGTACAAAAATGGGGTCAAAATTTATATTATATTCATAACAATATTTCGATAAATAATAAAAAAAATATATTGTAATTTGCAATTAAAAAAAAGATATTTAAAAAAGGAAGCATTAGAAAAAAAGAGAACATCTTTATCTACCTTTAAATTTGTTGCAGAATCTATATACACGATTAAGAGAGCCGAACTCATATGGGAGAGTTGCAACTGCTGGCTTTCATATAAGGCCTAGAAAAATTTTATGTATTAGTTTATAAAAATATATTAGCGATCTTTATGTTCATTACAGCTTTGAGATTGGAGTAATCCATCGACAGTGTTAACCAATTTGTCCTAATATGAATATCTCCGTGTTTAACGTCTTCGAGAACCAACCACTAAAATGGAATTTATATTTCAATAAAATGAAAATTTTAAAGGATTTTTGTTTACCGTATCGCTTAATTCTGCTTTAATTAAATAGGCTATGTCCACCGATGCCCTAAAAAATAGTTAATACAGAAATTAAAATCTAATATAGATATGATTCATACAATCAATATTATTTTACAGAAAATGATCATTACGAACTCACTACACACGTTTTCTACAAGGCGTTTCTATTGAAGAGTAACACTGGTTAACTAAAAAAAGGGGTCCCTTTTTATCTTTTTAATAAGGAGCAATCTCAAAAACCTCATAATTAATGGGTCTTACTTCATCAATATCAAAGTTACTGGGTGTTTTATCTTTTTTGCCAATTTCTTATTTGATTCATAACTTTTTAACCACACTATATATTTTCTTTATATTTGGCACGTAACTATTCTTCAACAGGTAGCGGATAGGAACTCCTTTTTGGACAGTCCTATCAGGGAAAGTGAATCAATCCCTGCCTACCGCAGATTCCAGGTGTTTCCTGGCTCGGGAAACTAGTACCTGCTAAGGGTCCCTTGTCCGGGGTCATGGATGAAAACCACAACGGCATCCAGGACAGAGAAGAAGGTCTTCACAACGGTCTGGAGGGCGGAGGTGGCAGTCCCATGGTTTTAGGGCTTGTATAAAATCGAACCTGGAAATCGGCACCTGTTTTTTCAGTATTTGTATTGAACGGAAGTCATGTAGGCCAGAACGGTCAATACATAACAGTACCCGATGCGGTGGTAACCAGTTAAACAGCGTGTACACAGCGGCCCCGAGTACGGGCGCCTTTTAAATGAGGCAGGGGTGCGAAAAATCTCCCGCTTGTCCAAATTTGATATCGAAAAAAGTCCTGTAGAATAGGCGCATGGAATGTGTGGAGTTTATATCCACCACTTACCCCATGAATACCGGCCAACGCATGATTATTTCATTTGTTTTTATTTTGAAAAATATCACTTTTAAAACTTATACAATAATTTCTGCGACTTTTTCACGAATTTTTTTTTATTAAATCCGTTGAATGCAATAATCTGCCCATTGGGCATTAAGCATTTGGTATGGTAAAGAAAATGCAGATATGTAGAGTTACTCCAGTGAGTAATCTCTTTACAATTCTAAAAATTAAAATTTATTAGTTTGAACACACTTATTATGTTCAGTTTGATAAGTCGGATGGAAATTGCCGTTTTAGTCTACGCACTTCAAAGACCTTCCGCACATTTAGTTGTCGAGCAAACGCATTAGGATGCACTAGAACTCGTTCACAGTTTTTCACGACTTAAAGAACATATTTTATTCTTTGATTTTACCCCCATTCCATTTATTACATATATTTAGTTTTTTGTTTTCCTGTTTGCGAGACATGCCGTTACATTTTACATTTTGTATTATAATGTATTATATAGATATATAATACATTATATATTATATATATATTATATGTATATATTATATAGATTTTATCAAGATATCAAGATATAAACAAGATATTTACTTAACATAATAACATACCTTCCTAAAAATTCATCATCTGTGGCATCTTCATCCCATACTGTTATTAAAAGTTCTTGTCCAGTAGATTCCAGGATGACAAACTAAATAATATAATAATAATTGAAATGAGTATCAGAAATATGTCCTAAATATAGTAACTTTCCAATCTTAAATGTGTTCAAAACTTCCTTTTTTTTCGCCTCAAGACTTCGATATTTGCAATTCAATTTATCCAGCTTATTTTCAATATTTTTCTGTGAAGTATGGTTTTACTTTTGTGGTAGGAAATTTTAATTGAGCTACTTGTATTTCATGTATGTTTATTTTAGATAAGAGCTTTTTAAGTTTAATGTTAAATCTTACATTTAACGAATTATATCAACTCCAGAATTAGGACTAACTGATAGTGCAAGCACTCCTGACCACGGTGCAGTAGACGAAATTTGGTTTAGTCCCCACTTCCATGCGAAACGCATTGTACTATGCACTGTAAAATTCCACTTACAATAGAACCTTTCTGGCTTTACGTGAATTTGACTCCGCCTTCGCGCAGCTCCACGGTTAGGAGTGTTTGCACTATCTTTTTTTTAATATGATTTATAATGTAGTATATTGGCGTCTACTGGGATTTCTATGTATAAAGTCTTGTAGGTAGTATATCTTAATAAGTGTTCGTAATTATAAATTTTTTCTCTTGATAGAATTGAACTAGTACCTACTGTATATCTTTGGTTTCGAATTCTCAGTTCGAAGTTTCCAATAAAATTATTTCGAGAGTTTTCACTTCATTTTACAATTTTTTCATTGAAATCCCTCATGATTATTGTGATGTTTCTAGATTTGTTTGTCTAATGCTGATTTTAATTCATTGTAGAACTGCTTCAGTTATTATTCATCTATTCATCTAGTTAGATCGGTTAATATAAGTATATCAATTTAACTGTAAAATGACTCTTAATCTTACCTCACACCAATAATCCCATTTAGGATTAACGTTGGATTGTATAGTCTCAGTCTTGAAACTTTGTTCTCCTACTATTAGCATGGCATACGGGTCTGATTTACTTTTGCCGGTAAAAGTAATATCTTTCTTTACCAGGTCTTTTGCTTCAATTACATGAACTCTAAGCACTCCCTACAACAGAAAAATACTCTAATAAAGTTAAGCAATTTACTATTTTCATTGAGAATTAATTGTGGCTAGATCTCATGTGTGTATGTGTCCTCTTATGCTAAATTTATTGAAATTATTTATAAAATACCGTGGTAAGGAACGGGTAAGCATGTATAATATTAACAGTACGTTTTTATTTATTTTTTTTACTTTTGACCGGATTTTGTGTCCGTTATATACGAAGTCGCTAAATAGAGGTCCGTTATATCGAGGTTTTACTGCACTAGTGTAACGAAAAAATTAAGATGTTTTTGTTGTTCAATTTTAATATAATGGAATAGTATTTTAATCAATTTTAATTTGAAAGTCCAGCGTTCCATTGTACCCATGAATATCATCTTCAATTTCTTCATTAGATGATAAATTACGATAAAAGATTTTACAATCATTAAATGGAGAAATGATGCGATATCCCTGGGCTTTTCAGGCGATATTGGTTTTCCTTCTGGCCAGACATTTTTCAACAAAGATGACATGGTCAACTCCTTGTTTTAGCAGATTTATTTCAACAAATTTGTTGTAATTCTTACTTATGTAAATAGGCGTTTATTTTTAATGATGCGGATTTGTTTAAATTTCAACTAGTTTCTCTTAGTGTTTGTTGTGTCTTTTTTTCTGTTGGAAATACTTCTCTCAATATCACTTGTAGACCTAAAGTCAACAGATTTCATTTTTATTACGTTTAAAATATTTCATCTTCTAGCATTCTTCATAACACTGATGTAGTCTTCAAGTGTGTAAAGTCTTTGGTGGAATTTTAGGGCAGATTCGCCTCCGAATTCACTTTCGTTTGGTAGGAAACTGTGCCCAGAGAAAAAAAACTTCATAGCATAGTAATATTTTAAAGGCTAGATTGCACTTCCAACACACTTTTCTGCATGAGAACTATCTAGATATTTCTATTCTGGTCACCATATTAATCACTCCTTAGTGTTAAATTGGTGACATCCTTATCAATATTAGCCATAATTCGTTTTCGTAAACAGGATGAAACTTTCTAAGAGCCCTTATCAGCTTGTCCCTTTACCCGAACATAGCAAAAGCCCTTTCCACTCTTGCCACTGTGCATTCCGCAATTGTAAAACATCAGTCGTCTTTGGTAGAACATGATGGTAGTTGGAATACGCAGCATAGGTAGAGTTTTCTCTGTCAAAAGTTAATGCTTCTGAGCTCTTGTTTTCTTTTGCAAACTTGAAATCATCTCTCATTAAAACTTGAGCTAAGTTTGCTAGTGCCACATGCTCCTCATAATTTTCTTGCAGTTTGTGTTTTTCAGTACTATACAGTACTATCTTTTTTGTATGATACAGTAAGTATCTTTTTTGAGTGGTTTATGTCGTAAATTCTGTAAAAGTCCTGTAGAAAAATATGTTTATACATGCTGAAAGACATTGGGTTGCTGTACTCAATTTTGTATAAATCATTTTTTCGGGAACCAGAAATTTTATTGAGCCCCATTTAATACCCCTTTTGTCTACAACAGAGTTAGAACGCGTTTTATTAAGTGTTGTGTCTATAAGTTTAGTGGAAATTCGCAAGCATTTGTACAAAAAATTTCTACATACTTGGTTCGTTGCACATATCTACATCATTTTTCTCGTGATCATGAATACATTGTTAATAAGAAAAATGTTATGTTTTTAAACTAAATTTAACTAACTAATTACAAATATATAATAAACAGATATTACTACACGGAAAACTGCTACAGCAACAAGCACAGACAACAAGTCAACAACACTGGTTCTCTTTTGTAAAACATAATATGGCTTCTTTGATTCATTTTAGTAAACACATATGGAGTTAATTCCCTCTTGCAAAATACATGACTGACTTTATGCGGTTGGATCCTAAATGCAAATTTCAAAACGATAGTTACGTAAATGGTAGTTGATTCAAACTGTTATAACATAAAATATTGATGCTGAAGCTTTTGGTTCTTTTTTGCTAAACAAAGTTAACCTTCCTTATGCCATATAAGCAATATTATCAAATTTTGTATTTTGGTAGTTCATTCCTGCATAACTACGTCCAATTTATACATAAAACGTATCGTGTAATTGAATAAAAATATAGATGTTATAATCATTACGAAAAGTGGGAGCGTTGTTGTTGTTTTATATGACTGGTATTATATTTTGTGATGGTAATTAAATATTTGGTTTATGTTGATCTATTTCAGAATTCAAACCGAATGTGTTAATTATTTTTATAAACGTTACGCTTTATTTTAATTTATTTGTAGAAATAAAATATACGTGTGTGGTTTGTCTAACGAAAAACGGTTAATTACTGCAACCCGTTCTAGTAAAATAAGTAAGTAATAAAAATGATCCATTAGTTAAAATTGTTTATTACATTTAAGAGTACCAAGTTTTAGAAGCTGCAATTATAAGAACAAAATATAAGCATATTATCGAGAGACACCTATCTAGGTGATATTTTATCAGAGATCTTCCCATCTTAAACCATAATTTCCCAACATTAAAAACCTAACAACACCTCCAAAATAATAAGAGTTTATAAAAATACAGACTGGATGTTTTACAAACATATAAATGAAGTACTTATTTTTTTTTAAACGAAGCGTCTATACTGGCTTTGTATTACTTTTTTCTCTATAGTAAAATGTTGAGACGAGCGTCACGGTACAATCATCTATTCACAAAGTTTATTTATTTTAACAACTTTTTGTACATTTAAAGGTACATAAAACCGCTGTTAGTTAATATCCTTGTTAGAGATTCTAATAAAATTGAAAAAATTTACTTACATGGTGTATAACGAACTCTCGTCGTCAAGGAAATGGGCTCTTCCAACTTTTTCGTGTCGCTAATTTAGTGACGATCGTCTCAGCATTTTATTATAGAGAAAAATTAATACAACACCAGTATACAAGCTTCACTTCAAAAATAAATTTTTATATCTCCTTTTAATTTTTTATATAGTGGTACACAGATTTTATCTTGGTGAGTTTTTCTTTACAAACACTTTCTGACAATAAATCGCTTAGGTAACCAAGATATATCACAGACAGGCAAAAACGGATGAATACAATATTTCAAGACCACTTCCCTCCAAATTAAAAACTGTTGGTCTGCTTACGTTAAAATGGTTCGCTACGGCAGATAGTGGCCAACCATCTTCTAATGTCATTACAATTCTTGCTTTTAGTTCTTTGCTAGCATGTGTAGCCATTTTTTTGAGGTTGCAGTTGAAGTTATCTGACAAATTTTAAGATTTATCAGTATCGGTGACAGTATGTAAATAATAAGTATTTATCCCTCAAAATACACTGCTCAATTTTCTACAAAATATGCTTTAAGATTCGTATCAGTTTTTTTAGAAACCAGCTATACATAACCAAATTGTAAAATTGCATTTACTTACCGCTGGATTTGGTGTATTCAGTTGTTCACTGCTTACTTCCGGAGTAAATTTAATTGGAAATTTGTTTGGTAATACCATTAACGATGCAACCGTAGCGCATACACACTTTCTCAAGGATTCGCTAAAATATTAAAATCTATTCAGAAATAATATAATAATTAATAATACATATTAGAGAAATTCATAAATAAGTATGAATACCCTAGAAATGGAAAGTATCATAGATGAGCATTATTCGTATGAAGATTATGAAGGGATATGATATAAAACCTGAGAATGATAGAGGAGTCGCAGTTAGGAGAAAATGTTAAAAATCGAGTAGAAAGAAAATACTTAGAAAATGAAACTAAAGCACACTTGTAGACATCAAAGAAACGTATGATACTGTCTTCATAAATTAAAAAATTACATAAAAATCAAAAATAAATATAAAATAAGTGGAAACTGTTAAAATGTTGCACCATCGACAAACAACAAGAATAAAAACGAAACCGTATATAGAGACTTTAGCAAATATGTACAAAACGCAAAAGCTATTATAAACATTTACAAAAACACTTCAGAATTTCTCACTACCAGAGGCGTCCGACTAAGAGACTCAATATCCCCAAAGCTCTTCACCGCGACCCTAAAAAACGTATTCAGCAAAATGAATTGGCAGAATAAAGGCCTATCCATCGATGGCGAATACTTCTAAGATTTGAAGACGACGTAAATCTGATCGCTAATAATCCTGCAGAACAAGAACTTACAGGAGATCTAAATGCAGCTAGCAATGAACTTCGCCTTAAAGTGAATTTGGCAAAAGCAAAAAATTATAAACAACGAGATAGTGGATGTTCAAGACGTAATAATAAACTAAACTACACTTGAGACAGTAAACAAGTGTGTATATTCGATACTACTTTTGATAAAAATGCAGTTATATTCAAATCCATGATGCCACTCCACCTGAAGAAAAACGCATTCGATCAGTGTATACTACCAAACTCAAAGTCCCTTAAAGGTCAATGTAGCGATGTATGTTAGGCATAACAAACAGAGATCGCAAAAGAATAATATGGATCACATAGAAACCTGATGTCACTGATGTAATCCACACAATTAAATCTTTAAAAAGCAGTGTACGGGACGTTTAGCAAGAAAAACTGGCAATATATGGTTCACTAAAATTAGACTCTAAGAGACGCCAAGAGATCAAGACGACGTCCAAACTTAAGATGCGACGATGAACTAAGGAAACAACCAGGAACAACATGACACAGAGAAGCAAATATTAGACAGTTATGAGCAGAAATGACAAACGACTATATAAGGGAGGCTGCACCATAATCGGTGGAATAAGCTGAGAATAATGATAATGATGATGATGATGTTGTACATATATATTGTATGTATGAATGTTTAAAATGACATAACCAAAACTTACTTTATTCCTGGTACATCTAGAATACCAGCGATTCCGTCTAACTCGAAATCTATATCGGGATTATTAAGGAAAAACAGCTGCACACCACCTATCAATGGAAAGTGGCGAATAAGAGGTTTGAGCACTATTCTTAATTTTCCATACATCTGAAACAATTGCACAAATTTGTGTATTCTGTTAAAACTCTTTTTCCCCTTTAATGTCGGTATCAACAGAAATATATGATATATTTTATCTATGATAGATTTCTCTAAACACAGTTTACACCGACGATAGTACAACCAATTGGCTGATTATAAATCGTCCTCGAGACTTTGGAAGACCCGCTTTGCATCACTAGTAGCTACGAAGATAAGCTCCAAAGAAACGCGTTGAAATGTATAATTTTCAATAAATGCGGCGAAGAATATTATTGTTAATATTAAAATGCTAGAGAATAATCATAAACCTTAATAAAGCGTCAGCAAAAAAATTACACTTTGACGGATGCCAGTGAAATTAATCATTTTTGTTTGTGTACCAACGAAAAATGTTATACAAAAGGGAATACTGATAAATGGAGAAAAACTGAACAAGATGATGTACACTCACGACACTGTCATTTTTGCAGACAGTCTGGAAAGAAACTAACTATATTTAGGAGCGAATTTAAACAAACAAAATCAAAAAATCTTTAACCCTAATGATATAAAATTGGAAATAAAAGTTCGTTATTAAAATTCTACGAATTTTTGGTTCTTCTATATGTAGTGGAGTCATGGATCTTAACATTTGGAATGTGGTGCTACAGACGTATGTTATCGATTTCCTGTATAGACAAAGTTGCCAACGAAGAAGTTCTTTAATAAATTGCACTAGGTCATATAAAGCACAATGAACAACGAAACGACCTACTTCGCACCATCTTTCAAGGTAAAGTGCATGGGAAAGAAGTCCAGGAAGAAGAAGAATATCCTCGTTTCATATCCTATCCGTTACGGATGTCCAACATACCACCATAAGCAGAAAAAGAATATAAAGTATAATTTTTATTCACTGTTTCTCATTATTAGATTTGGGCTTTAAGGCTGTTTTATCGGTGCACCAAAATTTTTTCTCTGTTATTTACCGACGAAATGTCTCGAAATTTGGACATGTTTTACGAAATTATGTTGACTTTAAACTGATGGTTTTACTTTTTTTATTTTTTTGAATTTTCTGTTGAAAAATTGGATTATACTGTTTAACGTTCTATTATAACCAAACTTTTCACGCCCATCAGTTGAAAGAGTTTTTTTTTTCTGTAATCGTTGATTCTTTTTTCACCTTTCTGTGTCCAGTAATAATCGAGAAAAGCGTATTCAAACTTTGAAGAAAATTGCTAAAAAATACTGAAATCTAATAGTGAAACGTGTTCCTCATCATTGTCGCTGAGCTTGATCGTTATCGCATTAGTGACGTCAAATCTCATGAGCGTACGGTACGGTCTTATTTTTATTTCTCTATGGGTACGGTCAGTTAGTTCGCTTGAATTAGAATCCATTTTAGTTCTTTCATTCTTGTATTTTCTTTATCAACTTGCTTAGTTTTTACAGTTTACAGTATTCTTATTTATTTTGAAAACATTGAAATTATTTAGTTTACGTGTATGTTAAGTAATATATTATTAGTTTAGTGGTATAAGTTAAAAGTTCTTTAGTTTACGCGTATTTTTAAGTATTACATTAGGTTAGTGATATAAGTTATAAGAGACAAGATAAAAAATGAGTCCCAGTAAACGTCCTATGTCAAGGAAAAGGAGAGCAATTGCACTGCTTTAGTATTTATTATTTATATTAAAACCGTTTTTAAAAGCTTTTATTTAACTTTATATATATATATATATATATATATATATATATATATATATATATATATATATATATATATATATATATATATATATTCAAGGTTTGAATAATCATTCTCCATTTTCATGCAACTTTTCTAATATGGAGATTATCAAAGAAAAAATGGACGGATTGATAAGTACATTGACTTTTAAATGTCAAATGTGGAATATTGAAAAGGAGATAGCAACATAGGATTCTGGTAACAATTCACTGAACTTGAATGGTTCTGGTTATTCAGACATACAGCAGCAGCACGCTGCATTAAATATACCTGTGATTTCCTACAGGCAGTATGCAAAACATACGGAAACAGTTGCAGATATCATCGGCCAAACACTTTGTGATTTCTTAGAAGAGGCTGGACGGGAGGAATTAGCTTTAGCCAAAGAAATTGGTGAAGTAGATTCCGACGGAAATGGGTTAATAACCGTTATAGCTGATGGTGCTTGGTCAAAAAGATCGTATAAAGTAAACTACGATGCTTCTTCAGGTGTAGTACCTGACGTTGTAAAATTTATTAAATTAGTACGCCTTTGATGGATAGGACATGTAATTAGGCGAGATGAAGATGAAACGATCAGAAAAATTTTCGACCGAAGAGGACCAGTGGGAAGACGATCCAGAGGAAGACCAAAACTTAGGTATCAAGATAACATAGAGGATGATCTAAAATCCATCGGAGTTAAAGCATGGAGAAAGTTGCCAGAGGCAGGGGCGAATGGAAGATTGTTCTGAAGAAGCCTTTGGCTCATGACGAGCTGTAATGCCACTGATATGATGAAATAACTATCCACGATTTGTGTTTTATTCATCAATTGGATACTTTTCTTATGTAACTGCAACCTATAAATATATTAAAATAATGTATATTCCATTCAGAGAACATTTTCCTCGCAGTGCGTCGCCTCGAAATACTTGCCAGATAAATACATTTACTATTATGATGGTTTCGCAGGTACCAATTTTTTATAGATAAATAAAAATATTTTTTGTTTAATTTTTACTACGCTATTATCAGTTTTCTCTAACAAATATTAACAAAATATTAATTATATATTAATATTAATATAACAAAATTTAAATTTATTATAAATAAACACAATGGTGTTTTTTGCAGTCACGTTTCACAAATTTTTATTTAATACTATGTTTAGCTAAGATATATAAATTAAAAATGTGATTAATTCTTTTTAAAACATTATCTACGATAATTAATCTAAAAAAAAGTATTCCGACAAAACTAATTTGAATGGAGAATAATGCATTTATTTTAAACAACCCGTGGGCCGGCGCCACTGAATAAACATCCAAACTATTAGGAAGTCACGTAGGGTCTGACATAGCGGTGTAGAAAAGTAAGTGATACGCCCACTTCAAATCGCAGTATGCTATAACTGCGAAAACAGCCTTAATATAAAAGCGTAATTAATTGTCTGCGAAAAGCGAAATAGATCAGTTGACGTTAGATCAGTCTATGTTCTAAGATTGGCCAGGAAGAAGATGCGTCTACCTCTAATCCCTCAATCTTGGGATTTATGGCACTTTCTGTAAGGCTACAGCTTTCTACTCCCTATAGGAGGACACTAAAGACGTAACACCTAAGAATTCTCATGCGTATATTGAAACTTAAAGATTAATTGCAGATAATCTTCCTAAGACCGTTAAAAGAGCTTTTGACTTTTTCAATACGAGTTTTTATTTCGAATCTACGATCCCAGATATCCTTATGATTGGAGACCATATATCACATTTTCTCCAATCTTTCTAACGGTTTATCGTTTATTGAAATTTGGGCGTTTATGTTGGTGTTCTTACTAACGATCATTATTGTTGTCTTCTTACAATCTAGTTTTAGGCCATATTTGTAAAATTATGTAGGCTACAACATTATCCCCCATCCTATGTAGCCCATGCGCACTATCTGCCAAGCAATACGGTATGGTCTGCATATCTAATGCAGACAATGCAGGTATTTCTTATACGTTGGCCATTTACTGTTATAGCGTCTTCTAATGTCTCCAAAACTTCTCTGAAGCTGTTTTGAGAGTATATGTTAAATAGTGTTGGTGAAAGTATGCAATGCTGTCGAACTTAGCCCGAACATTAGATATTTCAAAACTGTTATACCCCTTAAAGTTAGCTTCAAAACACTAAAAAATATACACCAAATAAATATTTGATTGTAAAAATAAACAAACCTGGAAATTTTTAATTCCGCCCAAAAGTCCTCTGAGACGAAATTTAATATCACAGTCGCCAGCGTATCTAAAATCAAATATGTATTTTAATATAAATATATTGTTACGATTTTAAATGTTATGGCGTATAGAACTGTAAATATTTAATGACTAATTCTTTTTTATTGATTCTCGTAATTTCTAGGTCAAAAATCTACCTTACACCCTTTGGGTCCCCTTCGCTAAAAAAAAACAAGAATCGAACTTTCTGGGGACGAGCTGATGAAAAACATACCAGTTTTAGATCATTGCCGCTGTGTCTACGTCGAGAACGGTATCGTATTTTCTGCAACATTCTGTTTACCAGCTGGTTTCAAATAAATAACGGAAGATTTTCATTGAGCAGTTAGTCAACTAGAAGATCGCGATCTCGCGTTAAATTGTTCGAACGCAAATAAATTATTTGTAATTATTAAGTGTAAAATAAATTAGTATAAAATAAAGACTTTTGATAAATTATCGTGAGTTTTAATAAATTAGAATAAAGACAATAAATTAGAATAAAGACAATAAATTAGGACTAATAAAAGCATTATAATATTTTATTACAAAAAAAATTAAATTTTTAAAATTCTACAGCTTTGATGCGAAACAGAATTTTTGTATATGTAAGTAGATATCTTTAAGTATGGGTTGCCTCACATGGACTTCCTTTGGTAGATTAAATAACATTTTCAGGTCTATTATTCCAGTTTGTTTAAAAAAGAAAGGTTTTTAACCAGTGCATTTTACCGGTTCTTACATATGGTGCAGAAACACTGACTGTGACAAAAAGGACAATAGATAAAATAAGAGTTACACAACGCGCTATGGAAAGATCAATATTAGGTATTACCATCAGAGATAAAGTACCAAACCTAGAAATAAGAAGAACAGGAGTCACAGATGCAGTTGAAAAAATAGCCATGGCTAAATGGTCTTGGGCCGGACATTTTGCCAGATTAACGGATGATAGATAGACCAGAAAGATTCTGGAATGGGGACCAAGGCAAGAAGCATATCGAAGCATAGGACGACCACCGACTAGATGGGCGGATTATATCAAGCGCATCACCACAAACTGGATTCAAGAAGCTCAAGATAGAACTAGGTGGAAAATTTTACGGGAGGCCTACGTTCAGCAGTGGACAAATATAGACTAATTGATGATGATGATATCTTTAACAATTATAATAAATTTTATCATTGTTGACACGTCCTGCATCGTTAATTGAAATTTCATTTTTTTTTTTTGTAGAAATTAAATAGTGATTTATAGTTATTTAAAATACTTACGACACATCAACATCGATGACTATTTCTTCTCTAGAAACATTGTCATATACTACAATACCACCTGTTCTTAAGGGCTAAAAAATATTTAAGATAATGTAATTGTATACAATTAACTTTTATAACAACAGATAATATACAACAGAGATATATATAGATAATACAACATAAATATATATATATATATATATATATATATATATATATATATATATATATATATATATATATTTGTAAATCAAAACACTAAATAGACAATAATAAGTCTACAATAATAAACCTTGTACTTACCGTACTGCCCAATATGATTCTCTCAAAATGGAATCCTTTCAGACTATATTTCTCCAGATTTTTCTTGAGCTTATTTTCTACGTATGTTTTAATGAGGTCACGAGCATAAAAATTTATAAAGGGCCAACATTGCTTCACTGCTTTATTTAGCCATTCTGCTCGTTCTACATCCGGAAACACGACCTAAATACATAATCTTTCATCAATTTTGTATACGAACAATGTAGTTAGAAGGTAGAATATTCTTAAAATTGCCAAATGAATCGCTGTGCTTTCAGACTGTGCCGAAATTGGAAATATCTATACAAATCAAGAATATAAAGATATCGTCAAGATCTGCACTGATAAGAGACGATTCTCTTGGGTAAAGTTTTCTTCCACAGTAGCACGGTTTTCAGTTTTTTACTTGAACAAATTAATTAGGAAGGCTCGATACAAGAAGAGGTGAAAAAGTGGAAGACGACGAAATAAGCAAATCTAAAAAAAAATAGAAAAATAATAGAAACGTTATGCAAAAAGAAAAGTGGACAAAAAACAGAAACCTAAAAACTATATGAATTAAATTAAATATTGAATTAAAATATAAATGGAAGAGATTCAACGAATCCTGGAAATACTTGGTAAACAAATAAAGATATTGGAGATTGGAAAATGAAGACAGATTAGAAGACACAACAATTAAATGAAGCAAAAGTTAAATTTAGGAAAGTATATTTAAGGGCTGAAGTTCATGCCTTATTGTGCTAGACAAAATTGAAAAAAGGGAATAATGCCTACTCATTTTCAATTTGAGTTCAGAAAAGTTTAGAAAAAATAATTTTATATCGACTTCTACTTACCCAAGAGGGAAGTTCCCCCCAATTTTCAAGAATAATTTCCTTCTCCTTTCCCAAAGCTGCTTCTTTGGCAAACGTTCTTTTTTTATTCTTTGTATTTGCATACTCTTCCGAAAGAGTAATGAGTAATGCAGGTATTACCACCCATGTCAATGACCAGTTTACATACCCAATTAAATATATAAGTGCGTAAAATACTATCTACAAAAAATAAAAACTAAAAAATATCATATCCCTAAGTTACTGATTCTGAAAAACATACATTTTTTTATATAAAATTTATTATAGATCGTGAGAAGAAACGGTGTTCCTATTAAACAAAGGTTGACAACAAATCAAACATTAGCCAACAAACCTTAGCGTACAAAGTTTCTGAAATATGTCTTTTAAAAGTTGTCCGTCTTGTTCCTAGCACTGCTCCAATCTGGATCTTAAGCTAGCAAAAACTCGTTGACACATATTTACAGGAATGTTCCCAATAGCGTCTCCAATACGTTGTTTTAACTGTGCTGTGGTTTCTGGGGGGTCAGTGTATAGGTACCCCCACAAAAAAAGTCCAGCACAAATTCTGTAGTTCGGGACGCAAACAATTTCTTACCTTGTCGACATACCGCTCGCTGATTACACTTATATTGCGATCATTTAGATCTTCAAAGAAATATCCCCCAATTATTCCGTGTGCAGACATGCCACACCACACAGGTTACTTCTGGTGTAATTGTCGTTGATTCTCATTAGCCCAGTATCGCGAATCCTGCTTATTGACGTTTCCATCTAAATGGAAGTGTGCTTCGTCACCGAAAATAATGTTCTCGACACCTCCATCATCCCAAAACTGGTTCATTATGGTTTCGCAGAAAATGCGCCTCTTTTCGTAGTCTGTCCGCTTCAATAGTTGGGTTATCTGAATTTTATAAGGATCAAAGTGAAGATCTTCTGACACTTTTGTCCGACCAGAGGGCTTCCTATTTGTCGCAGAACCAGTTTCACGGAATTTATTCACCACAATTTTACTAAGGAAGCTGATGATGCATCAGCTATGCGGCGAATGTTATAGTGCTCACAAAACCTACGACGAGCTATGTAGTGTTTTAAATTTTTATAATACGTCCCTGTTCGTTTATCTCGTCAGTATGCATAAAGATTGCGAAGAAATCTGTGTTTGTCTTTTACGAAAATCTTAAATGCGTAAATAACGCTGGAAATATTTTTTTGTCTATGTTTACTTTCAAATCCCATAACCTTTTGTTACATTGTCCGGTTTAAAATTAGGGTAGCTAGAATAATCAATAAATACGTGTAATATCTGCTATTTTAAAGTAGAATATTTCAAGTTTTTTTGACGAGATAGGCAGAAAAAAAGGAGGTTTTGTTGTCGTTCGTAATTTAAAACAAATATCAAGGGGAAGATTGTTTGTTTAGGTTTTGTAGAAAGAGGTTCTTAGAAAAGAAATTGCAAGTCAGGTATTCAATTTTTATACGTCGCAAATGGAATCTACTACGTTGTTTCGTTGTGTTTTATTATATCAGCGTTTTGTTTGTTTTCAAGTTATATGAACGAATTTTTAAGTTCGTCATTCATGCTTGGGTCGCCGAGCAGTTCGCTGTGTGGATCGTAAGTATGGATTTGCAAATTTGTGTTCTTCTGTTTCTTGGCCCTTTAGTGAAAATATCTAGCAGTAAAAAAATAATTTGTGTGGTGTACCAGAGCATGGTATAATTTTGAAGCCATATATAGGATGTCCCACAGCTTTGTTGTCATTTTTCTTGTTTGATCCAGCCCATCTACGTCAAATCGGCGTTCCAAATTATGGAGATGATCTTCTTTTGTTCCTGAGTATGGAAATGGTTCCCTTTGTTCCAGAGTTTCGTCCTTGCAGCTCCAGTCTCAGAGATGTAGCAAGTTTCGGAGTTATGTGCGTGTTTATGAGTGAAATTCAGGTAACTTTTATTGTTTGTTTAATTTTCAAATTAAAGACAGACATTTTTTTGCTAAAATAATAATTGCTTTCATTGTTTTAAAAGATAATTTTTTTATTTGTAATAACTTTTATATTTACCATAGTTTATACGTCAGTAACATTAGTAAATTTTCGTTGCATCTCCTGAATTTGTAAATTAGTAAAACGCATGTAAGTTTTTTGTATTTTGCGACTATCGTGGTAATATTTTTGTATTTTTTTGAACATTCTTGGTTCTCTATGTTTTGTAACTGTTTGTGGTATGACACAAAAATAAATGTTAAATTTTGTTTTCCTAACATTTTATTTATTTTTTTGAACTAACTCTTTTTTGAGTTTTATTTGAAGAAGATATGTTTTGATGTTTTATAATTATTATTTCCCTAGTTACAACTAGTGGTTGTACTAGGCATAATTAGGCACCTCAAGTGGCGCACTATATTAAATTCCTTGAGGTGTTTATTTTTATTTCGTTTGTCCCAAGAGATTAATGACCCCTTTATTTAATTTTTTGTAGTTGCCCCAATCCAACCCCCTTATCTTTTACTTATCCACGACCCAGCTCTCCTACCAAACCCTGAGTGCCGTTCGCACAAGTAGCGATTATTTTGCTTGCCTTCTACCCCCATAATCTTACCCCATGTGGTAGGCAAAATATTTTCGTTACAGCTATCGTGAATAAATGATCGCCGTTAAATTATGCCTCCGCCTGTTGCGCGTTGTGTCACCCTACCACTGCGCCGTGACTACTGAAGTACTAACAATACATTACAATAAATTCTCTACAAATCCGCACGATTCTACGTAACGATGGTAGTGGTACGACTTCATACAATTGCACAGGATCGGCATAAGGCTCATTTGAAAACTAAATTTTATTATGGAACACCCTTTATATTCATACAAAAATCATAAATGTCCAGTTTTTTATCTATTGTAAAAACCTGTGAAAAACATAGATTAATTAGTTTGATGAGCCATGTACTTAAAGTACTCCTTACTATCATTCATTCGCGCATATACAACAAATTAGAAGAACACCTGAGTGAAGTTCAATTTGGATTCAGAGCAGTACTCGGAACGACAGAAGCTCATTTTAGTTTGCAAGTTCTAACACAGAGAGCCAGGGATGTCAACTGCGATGTGTATGCATGTTTCATTAATTTCGAGAAGGCATTTGATAAAGTCCCACATGGGAAACTAACAGATATCCTAAACACATCAGGACTCGATGGTAAGAATATAAGACTGATAATGGGCAACTTATAAACAACATTAGATATGCAGACGATACAGTGTTGCTGGCAGATAGTGCGCAGGGGCTCTAAAGGATGATGGATAACGTAGAAGCATGTAAAAAATACGGCCTAAAACTAAATTGCAACAAGACAAAAATAATGATCATTAGTAAGAACACCGACATAAACGCCCAAATTACAATTAACGATACACCGTTAGAAAGAGTGGAAAAAATGATATTTGGGCTGCAATATTAAGGATAATTGGGATCACAGCTACGAAATAAAAACTTGTATTGAAAAAGCCAGAAGCTCTTTCAACAGCCTTAGGAAGATTCTCTGCAAATTATCTTTAAGTATCAATATACGCATAAGAATTCTTAGATGTTACGTCTTTAGTTACCACTTCAGGATTATTTCGAGCTGCGGCAATAAAGTTAGAATTGCCATGCTAGTAGCCACCCGTAACGGATAGGCACCACAAGAGGAAGAAGACGTCTTTAGTGTCCTCCTCTATGCAGTAGAAAGTTGTAGCCTTGCAGAAGATGCCATAAAACTATTGGAGGCATTTGAAATGTGGTGCTACCGACGTATGTTGAGGGTCTCATATATACACCACACAAGTAACATAATTACTCTCCAGAGGCTAAGAAAAGACAAAGAAATTATTAACACCATAAAAAACAGAAAATTGGCTTACTTCGGCCACGCGTAATAAGTCCGACTTCTACAGTTAATTCTGCAGGGCAATAATGAGAGTAAGAGAGACTCTGGACGTAGACGTATATCCTGGCTGGCCAATTTTAGGAAATGGACTGGTCTAACGTCAACTGATCTATTTCGAGCTGCTGAGAATAGAATAAGATGGGTCAATGTGGTCGCCAATATCTCTAGAAGATAGGCACATTTAGAAGAAGATAAAACCCAGCTAAAAAAATCAATGAGGCACATAACGGGAACTGCAAAGTCGGTACTAACCCGATTGCTTACAGTTCTAAGCATCTAAGCATCAAAACTCTATAAGCTAAAATAAGCTAAAAAATGCCAGCACTGTCGATAAATACAGACATCAGATTAAGAGCCAGGCATCCACCTACAGAGCTGCTACAAAGTAATAATATCTTAAGAACAATCTTTAGAATATACATATTTATCACGCATAAATGTAAAAAACAGTAACTTATCTTAAATTATAGGAATTATATATCGAAACTTCATATATCACATGCAAGTTTATTAAAAATAAAAACTTACCCTTTTTACAATTCTCACAAAAAGATTTTCCAGCTTCTCGTTACTATCACTCAATGCCATTTTCAATAAACTTCATATTTAACTTCGTTATTACACAAAATTTATTTTGTGTTTATCTGAAATAACAATAGCAAATAAATTGGTTGGAATTATTATATCCAATAAACAAATATTGTATATATTGGTAATTTCGTTTAATCTAATCAGATAAAATAATCTCGTGGGTACTAGAAATTAAACTGTTTTTAGTAGTAAAGAAATAAAAAAAAAACAACCTAACGTATGTAAAATGTGTTAAAAAAAAAATCACCAGGTCGAATTAGCAACATAATAAAACTCAAAATTAAGTAGTGTCACTTCATAGCATGGGTTGGAAATAACTTATTTAATGTATTCAAATATTCTTATTCTATATTTTTTTCTACAATTTAGAAAATCTTAAAGCAAAGTCGTTTATTTAATTTAATAATTAATCTATGGATATTGATTCCATTTATTAGCATGGTAAATATTATTTTGTAACATGATGAGGAGTTATTCAATTCAACTAGTTTTTTTATACTTTTTTTATTTAAATCTTTAAAATGTACTAAGATATTAGTGTTGTTAAGATATTTGATCTATATCTTGAATAACTTTAGAGTATAATATGGTAGGCGTTTACATAGAAACTTCTTTATTTATTTGTAGTGAAATGAAAATGAAACGTATTCAATAAATCAATGAAGTAGCTAACTTCTCTTTTTTTTCATTGAAATGAGGTTTAATGATCGAATAAATGAACTTTGAAAAATAAGGCTATTATCGAGCACAAGTTAAATCTAGTCCAAGTACTTTCGCTTAAAATAGCATCTTCAGGGGCATTTCGTCAAAATATAAACTATCCGGCAAGCGTAGAATGTGGAAACATTAACAATAACATAAAATTGTACAAAACACTATACTAAAACGAGGACAAACAGTTTAAAATTACTTTAAAGATTCTACGCTGAAAATGTAGCGAGACGCTAATTGTATCCGAACGTCTGCGGTCCCTCTGGTGAGTACCGATCGCACAAGGATAGAAATTATTTTCATTTATTAATTTTTAATAAAAGAAAATTTCCACCCAGATGACATTCGAACTCACGACCTTTAGATTTAAAGGTAGGCGCTCTTACCACTGGCCACAGAGGGGGTCAAGTATTAAATTAAAATAAGAACTTTTCATCAACATTCCTGACTCATAAATACATAATACCAACACAAAAAGCTAACACGTGCACGTAATCTAGAACTGTATAGCTGAAAACTTATGCTTATACTAAATGTTCCCTTAAAATTTTTTTTGGAAAGGACTAAATATAAATTTTGTATTAGGTAGCATATTAATAAATAAAAAGCTTACTATAATCCAATCTAGAGACACACCTACATCATTTTACTTAAATAATTATCAGAATGCGATGCTTATTGCAAAAGACTGAATTCATAAAAGTTTTAGGTATACATAAATCAATATTGTTTCGTGACTTTTCTTTTAACGTTTAAAAAAGTTTCCCATTCATATTTATAAAATTCTTGGCAGGTATTAGGTCATGTATTTAAAGCACAACAAAATTTATCAATGTCGCTGTATTTTATTTCATGCTGCATTTTTTTTATACATGGGTGCATGGCGTATAATGGGAGTGCGTGATGTAGCAGACGAGAGAGGGTAAAAGACGAATCTCTGGCGCCTAAAATCTGGAACATATCGGCTAGGGGAATGAACCCCAACAGAAAATTCGGTTCTCCAAGGATGGGGGTTAAGTAGTAAGGCCAGCGATCTTACACTTGCAAAAATTCTACAGTGCTAAAAAAACCCAATGAGCCTCGGTTACCGAACGGAAATTACAGTAGACGAAAACAGCAACGAAAATGGACCATGAATTACTGAATCTAGAATATACAGGGAATCCGGAACAAGCAACAAGAAATTATGAATGAATTCGTAAATCGAAAATTACATATATAATTCTCTCTGAGACCAAAAAAAAAAGGAAATAGAAGCGAAAAATTAAAAGACTATGTACATTACTTCTCATGAGTGGGAAAGGATCAAAGAGCAAGAGAAGGGATATCAATATTTGTACACAAGAAATTCGAAAAATATATTAAATCTTGGGAAGCATACAACGAACGTTTTATTAAAGTAATTGATGGATTCGACCGTTACTTGATGGAAATTCATTTTATGTAACAATAAAACACTGAAAACTTTGTTTTCAAACTTCCACAAAATTTATTTTAAATCTTATCACTACAGCTGTTTCGGCTGATTGTCTTTCTCAAGGAGTGATTTTATTAAAGTGACGATTCTCCTAAGAGGAACACAAATAACAATTCTGGGGGTATATGCCGTAAATGATGACTACTCAGTACAAAAAAAGGAAGCTTTTGAAGAAAACTTTAGAAAAATCCTGAACGAAATTCCTAACAGTCATGAGATTATATGCGGAGGAGACCTTAATGCCAGAGTAGGAAAACAAGTACAAAGTAAAGTGGTAGGCATGCATGGAGAAGAAACTGTTAACAACAACGGAGAAAGACTCATAAATATATGCCAACAATATGAGTTAAAGATTTTGAATGGTTTTTTTGCCCACAAGAACATACACAAATACACCTGGTATCAGCACACAAGAGGTCTAAAATCAACAAGACAACAAACTAAGTTAAGAGTACAAGACTAAAGGTGAATAGAAGAGCAGAGTGCAGCTCAGACCACTGCCTGATAATAGGAAAAATATATACAGCATTCTTAGACAGGAACCATACAGACATCAACAAAGAACATAGAGAAACAATAGAAAGAACTACGTAGGTACACCTTAGACAATCTAGATAACGAGAGCACACAGTTACTTTACTCCTGGAGACTAACACAAAAACTACAGAAATCGCACAGATCAACGACGGATGAGTACGAACATATAAAAAACTGCATGAAAGACCAGCGCTAAGCCTTAGGGCCACAGGTACGGAGAGTAGATAAACCATATTGGTAGGATAAAGAACTGGAAGAAAAGATAAAAAGAAAGAAGGAAGTATATCAAAAGTTATTACAACAGGGAGACGAACAAACAAAACAACAATATAAAAACGTGAATAAAGAAGTCAAACGAGAAGTGGTTAAAAAGAAAAATAGTGATATGATAACAACGACAAAAAAACCAAGTCATAATAAATAGAATACCAGAGAACACATGAGCATTTTGAGAACTTATTAACATAAAGAAGAGAAAGGTTTAAACAGACAAATAAACAAGTGGAAGTAGAAGGAAGAATAGAAATATCAATAGAACAAGTGAAAGAAGCAGTTAAGGGAATGAAATTAAGAAAATCTCCAGGCCCAGGCGGAATACATCCAGAGTTGATTAGGTATGGATCATCAAAACTGTTTGAAATGATCCGAAAATTATTCAAAAGATGCTTGAATGGAGAAGAAGCTCCAGAAGGATGGAGACAATCGTATATCTCTCCAATACACAAGAAAGGCACAAAGACGGATCCTAAAAACTATAGAAGGATCGCAATGAACAAGACATGTTTTGACAGCTTCAGCCATTAGCACGAGGCACCGTGGATACAATTTTGTATAAGGTACAATTACATATTAAACTTTGAGGGTATACAAGGCAACTATCGAACACGGTGATTAATTTAATCTTGCCCAAGTACTTTCGATCAATAGATCATCTTCAGGGGCATTTCGTCAGTTGTGGCCTATCCGACATAGTAGAATGTCATAAATGTAAAATTTGGACATAACAATACAAAATACAATACACTAAGACAAACAAACACTTTAAAATTTATAAGGAGAAGCTACATGTTGTATAGAAGCCGGCTATAGAAGAATTCTGTCTCCGGCTTCTATACAACATGTAGCTTCTCCTTATAAATTTTAAAGTGTTTGTTTGTCTTAGTGTATTGTATTTTGTATTGTTATGTCCAAATTTTACATTTATGACATTCTACTATGTCGGATAGGCCACAACTGACGAAATGCCCCTGAAGATGATCTATTGATCGAAAGTACTTGGGCAAGATTAAATTAATCACCGTGTTCGATAGTTGCCTTGTATACCTCAAAGTTTAATTATTCGAACATTCAACCTTATATTGAATTACATATTATAATATACTATAATCATATATTATTTATTAAGTTTTCTAGCTTCAGGAACTGGATAGCTGTAATGACTTGGCTCTGGTTCGATAATATATCTGTGATGTCGTCCTTCATGTTCAGTTCTTGGCGTCGTTTATTGTAATGAGGGCAGTCCACAAGGATGTGTAGAACGCTTAGTGGAGATTGGCAATAGTGACAGATTGGCTTAGGTGTAGAATTCATAAGGTGACCATGTGTAAATCTGGTGTGACCGATAGGCAATCTTCCAGCAACAACCATCTCATTTCTAGTTATATCAGGGATAACGAACGGCTCAATCGTCTGATCTATTTGGTGTAAAAATGTAGTGGATTGGTTCCAATGATTCTGCCAGTAATTTCGTACGAGTTTCTTTATACTAGTTTTTAGGTCACTGGCGATTTGTATATTACGTAGTGTACAATTGGATACAGCAGCTTCTTTAGCAAAGCGATCGGCGATGTCGTTACCCGTAATCCCGATGTGGGAGGGAATCCATATAATTGTGATATGGATGTCGTGGATGATAAGATTTTGGTAAGTGTCATGGATTTTTCTACAAGAGGGTGATTAGTAAATAGATTATTGATGGACTGGATAGAGGCAAGAGAGTCTGTAGCAAAAATAATATTTTAGTATTTTTTGTCCATAAATAAGAGACATTTCCTTATATTTCCTTTAAGTAAAGATAAAATTTAAAAAAAATAGTTTTAGTAATATGTGGGTTAATGAACGTATACTTACATACGACATATCACATGGCACTATGGATTATAATAGACATAATGTCAGGTCAGAAATGCACCAGATCATACTTTATATTTACTTGGATTATATGCAAAAAGTTTATTATTTTAAAAATTTAATGACTGACTGCAGATGACAATTGATTGGATCCCCCGCATACGACGGTCAAAGTCACTATGAATTAATAAAGCATTTACGAATCTC